TAACCATGGAATATAGGAAAAAGTGATTGTGTGCCGCAACAACAGCTGGATAAACTGAACCCAGTCATGAAAAATCCATCGCACCCAGGGTACAGACCAAGTTGGACCTATGAAATGCTCGTATTTTGAATTAATGTAGCTTGGCCATGACCCCCCCAATGAAAAAGCACACATCTCACATTCTACAACGTTTTCGTACGCTGGTGAGAAAAGAGGAGAGTGAAAATCGTTTTAACCATTTAAACATGCCCATCTCAACTGAAGAACTAAACCAAGGTTAACACATCGTGAAAGCAGCAAGGTTTGAGAACATATTCCCCGAAATAGTCATAAAAACGCCAAGTTAATATTGGGAGATGTTGTCCAAAGTACCCCGGGTGTTACTTCTTGGAATGGCAGGATGGTGAAGTTGCGATTAACGCGTAGCCCACTGTTGTAAAGGCTCTCATGTTTATGACCTCAATTAAGAATGTCACAACTAGTCTAATATACTAGAATTTCAAGACCTATTTGGATGGTCTTTGTGTTAAAAAACACTAGCCGAAATGAATATCCCCAATCTGCCATTCCTAACACTATGGTTCGTCGAAACGATTAATGAGTTTAAAAATATCTCCTCCTTCTGAGTCTTACTGTGACGCCCTGTAGTGTTGCTACACGTAAAAAGGCACGTAAATTCATCATCTCCTTTGAGTCACCAAAGTGGAGCAAGTAGGGGTTAAGTTAGGTTTAATTCGTGGAGGAGTGTAATTGTTTTGTTTTTCAGTGTGTTTATCATTCTGGGTATGATAATAATGTGCCAGCTTATTATTATGGTTATGACACATGTGTTATTCTTCGTGTGACAAAAATGTATAACTCTATTTCTGACATGGAAAATATTAAATCTTATTACGTTAATTCTCAATGAGGTTTTATTATGCTACTACACCATGTAACACTATCCGAATAGCAGTGTCACTACTGAGGGCCTCAGGGTTGTAGGCAGTATCAAAAAGACAGACCAAGGATTCGGTACAACCTAGTGGAATCAGACACTCATTAAACGCCTTTATGATCGTGAACCTTTTTAACATGTGCATAGATAAAATATTACACAATGTTTCGTCCACATGTTTACAGAATGATGACTCTGTACCTGTTTAATGGAATGGGTAAAAACCTCACTTTTCTCCGCATATAGCTAGTAATACTATTTGGATAAACTGGTTAAGCCGTCCGTTCCGATGCTGTCCATATGGAAAGATCGCGCACCTTTCTAAAAATAGGGGGCCGCTACCCATGTTCTCCCAGGAAGGGGGGCGGTTGTGTGGATTTGATGGCACACAGCTGGATATCGTTTTATGGACACTTGGTAAACGTCTAGAGGGAAAACTCCGAGGTACCCGTGCCTTTTTTGACACACAGATTCATGAGCTCGTGTACTCTATATAATCCTTAGTTCGGCATCGAATAATAGTCTAAAAGCACTTGTCCTTCTGTGTGAAATCTCAATAATTGGAATCTAAAACTGCATTTGCAATCAACTGAACGAACTGCTAAGCGGGGTCCTAAACCTAGCTTCTAAACGTACGTAAAGGGCAGCCTAAAAAAGCAAAATGGGAAAATTATTAAGTAATTTTCGGAGTTTGCCAAAATGAATAAAATTCTATATTTGTCCCATAGGGGTCCTTCTAAATTAGTGTTATGTGCAAAATTCAAAGGGTGTTGTGCAAATTCAAAAGGAAAATAATACGCTTTAACATCAACAGATCTACGTCTTTAAGATAAATAGATCATATAATAATAAGATAATAATGAATAGAATGAATAGTCTGGAGCTATACATGTCATTGGATTCGAGGAGCTATAAGGTTGAAGTGTCAGAATAAACAATAGTAATAATAGTTAGACTAGTGAAAATCAAAATAGTTCTATTGTGGAAAATAAGTTTCAATAATGTCAAATTATTCTATTAACTAGAAGTAAAAAGGAATCAAATAGAGTCCAGATTCTTAGATGCTTCTGTTTTCCCACATCTGTAGGAACTAGTGCAGATGGTTTTAAAGACTAGTATTAAAGGCAGACAGAGAACCGACAGGCTTTAACACAATTTTTAAATCTATAAATACTCAAATAGTAACAGTTGCATTTGACGCAGCCTCTGAGCTGCTCCATTGGAGAACAGGTCAAATGTTATTGTTATTAACAAACAGCTGATGTATTTACACATATTAAGTTTGGGACAACTCTTTAAACAGTTATAAGACAGTGGACAGATAGCCATGAAGTTGATTTTGTTTATTAAATAATTAATTCATAGCCTTATAATCGTAAGAACGTTTTAAAATATTAACATCCCTTTCAGGGCAACTTGATTTAGATGTATGTCTTTAATATTGGAGAACGACAGTTGTGTTTTTTGGAATTGTCTGAAATACAATACATAGAAGAGTGATTTGCAGAACAAGAACCGGCCAATAAAATATCGTCTATTGCCAATGCTATTTGTTACAAACAGAACTCAAAAGTTGTGGGGGGGGGTGGTGAACGGGAAGGGGGAATATGCTTGGCTCAAACTACAACCATGATTTGGAGTCACAATAGAGTGTAAAATAGATGAGTGCTTCAAAAATAGAGTTTAGTTTTTAGGACAGTGCTTATATCAATCGTAAGAAGGACCAATTTCCTTCATATTATGTCAAAAGTATTTACTTCAAAGGTAGATAAAGTTCATTACAGTTTATTGCACAGTTTTATAGATACTGTCAAATTCACTTGTTTCAAACATAGGTGAATGTTTGACAATGCAAAAAGCCAATGAGATAGATTAATGAGATCGATTAGAACCAACACAGATTCAAAAACATTTGTACAGCATTGTTAATGAATTTGGGTATAGCACCAAAAGTAGATCTTTAGGTAGTTGAGAATTTTAAGAGTCAGCAACAGATTTCGATGAATCAAAATACCGTTGTATAGGGACTAACCCCAAGAACCTGCTTAAATAGATTAGCTCCTGTACGGATAATCCAATTTGAATTAACGATGTACATTTATCCCAAACGGTCCCTGAGAGAAGGAAGTGACAGCACATCCGGGTTCCACAAAATATGTTTGGAAAAATGAGCAAAGCCCCACAAAATGGCACAGAGCCACTGATAATGACAGCAAACCACAGATAGATAGATTTATTAGATAAAAACATATGGTTTTAAGAATAATGGCTCCATAAAAGCAAAGGATGCAAACATAATTGGTAAATAGATTAGAATATTTTTTAAACTATAAGTGAATATTTTTAGTGCTTAATTTCAGACGGGGTTGAAGAAGGATCAGAATGACAGCAGTGGTCATCAAAGGAGTTTAGTGAAGGAATGTTTCAATGTGGTTGTTGTGTTGTTCTCTTCCTGATTAACTCTTCACGGATACGAGCCAAACTAGGATGAAGAATCTCCCCAGTCCCTCACCCAGAGAATATTGAAAGATTGTGACCTATTGTTATTATAGGTCAAAAGAGGACTGACCCGAATTTTCCATAAAATGCTGCACATCAGACAAAGGAATATGCACTCAGGAATCATAGAGATGACCAGCTTACAAAACCAGACAATTATTGACTCCAAGAATAAACTAATGCTCTCTCCACTCTCGACGAGGGCAAAAGTCCAACCACAATCAGGCGCCCAGTGGTGGGGGGCATTGTTTGCTCAGGTGGAGATGGAAGACCGGTCCAGAATCAGGACCAGGGGCCCAGACGCATCCAGATCTGTGGACCGTCATCGGACCCTTTTGATAGAAACTGCTGGGGAGGAATTGGCAGTCAGTCAGCCGGAGGGCCAGGAGAGGGACATATAGTTTAGAGCTTTCTTTTTTGTGAATATCTGTATCTGATTTAAAGATATTTAAATGCAGATGTTTAACGTGAAGATCTCTGTCTCGCTCTTGCATCGACTTTGGATACGTCAGTCTAAGGGAATTATTACTTCAGTACGATGTTAAGGTAGGGTTAAGGTGGTCTGAGTTAGATGGTTAAGTTAGGATTAAGGTGGTCTGATTACGATGGTTAAGGTTAGGTTTAAGGCGTGTCTGAGTTAGATGGTGAAGTTAGGTTTAAGGTGGGTCGAAGGAAGATGGTTAAGGGCTTCTTGGGAGGAAAAAATTGATTAGAGAGTCCCTATTGGGCTTCCTTGTCCTTTTGGAACGTTTGGAAAGTGTTTCATGAGCTTTTGAGGCTTGCAAAGATCTTTTTAATACCTGTCAGTATACTGCGTCTTGTGAAATAAGTTTCTCTGCCCTAAAACTTATTAAAAACCATCTCAGAACTACCATGGCAGATGATTGAGTCATCTTGGTATCCTCAGTGTAGGGTAAAGGAGGCTCAGGGCTGAATATGGATGAGTTTGTCAACATCTTTGTCTGCTTTACACCAGAACCGCAGGAATTTGCTAAATTTGTTAAAAGAAAAATGTAATGCAATGTTTGAATGATGTTATTTTGCACTTTTTTGTTCAGACTACTATTTAAATACACTTTTTTGCTTTGTAGTTTCCAAGTGTGCTCTCAGTTCACTTTATATTAAAAATAATGACAAGGTTAAGACTAAAATGTATCGTTTAGCCAGTTTTTGTGTGAAATAAAATTTTGGAATAGTATAAATGTGGACCCCTTAAAAAAAAACCTTGCCACCCCCTGGCCACCCTCTGTTTAAAAGTCTGGCTCCGCCACTGGTCATACTCTTAACACTAGAAAGTCAATGTTCTCAGTACCAAGTCTATTGCTTCCAACTGTTAAAACAACGTAATACTGCTACCACTTATTATTAATATTGTTTAATACAGGCTCTTGTCTTCTGTGCTTAATGATGAGAAGTGTACCATGGATTTACCAGCCTTAATAAATCAATACTTTAGCTGTCATGGCCGAGGGGAGCTGGGGGCGGTGGTACCTGTCAGGGGTGAGGGGAGCTGGGGGCGGTGGTACCTGTCAGGGGTGAGGGGAGCTGGGGGCGGTGGTACCTGTCAGGGGTGAGGGGAGCTGGGGGCGGTGGTACCTGTCAGGGGTGAGGGGAGCTGGGGGCGGTGTTTCAGCAGGCGGTAGTCCTCCTTCCGGCTCCTCTTTGGCATCACCTCACTGCTGCTTTCACTAGGACAACACACACACACACAGAAACACACACACACGGTTATACAAATATTCATGATTCCAGTTTGAATGCAGCCGGAGGAATCCTGCTGTGTGGAACAGACGGACGAACAGCACAGAAACATGTGAGTGCTGGTTTATCTGGGAGTAGACACTGACATCTGAGAAATATTATGCATAATTTTTACCCATTAAAGATGATTATGAGACTATTTACTTTGTCGTTTCATGTTTTAGGACATGAAATAGAATCTTACGTAGAAAATATATGGTGATAAACAATGCTCTCTGGTCTCTCTCTAGTCTCTCTGGTCTCTCTCTAGTCTCTCGGCCTCTCTCTGGTCTGTCTCTGGTCTCCCTGTCTGGTCTGTCTCTGATCTCTCTTTGATGTCTCTTGGTTCTCTCTTTGGTCTCTCTCTGGTCTTTCTCTCTGGTCTCCCTTTCTGGTCTGTCTCTGATCTCTCTTTGGTCAGTCTTTGCTTTCTCTTTCTGGTCTCTCTCTGTTCCCTCTCTGGTGTCTCCCTCTAGTTTCTCTCTGGTCTCTCTCTCTGGTCTCTTGGTGGTTTCTCTCTCTGGTATATCTCTGGTGTCTCTCTGGTCTCTCTCTCTGATCTCAGTCCATCCATTTTTAACTCTATGCTTTTAACTGTTGTTTTTCTTTTAACTTTGCACGTTAAGGCGACCATGCCAATAAAGGTACCGTGTATAAATAAATATTGTATATGTATAATTATCAGTATTTTCATTAATTGCCTCTATCACATTAACTCTCAAAGGAGTAACCTGGTCCTGGTACCTGTTGTTGTGTGCCTCCTGCAGCCTCAGTCTTTTGGCGTGGTTCTTCCCCTGGTAATGTGCCTGAGCCACGGCCACTGAGCTGAACGAGGCGTCGCACAGTTTACAGTAATCGTTCTCTGTGGCCAGGATCACACGGGCCGCACCTTTGAAGACCAACTGAGGAGAGAGTAGGGGAGCGTTAGAGACGGGACAGAGGCGAGAGAGAGAGAGAGAGAGACCTGGGAGGATGGACACAGACACACAACACAAACACCTACACAGACACAGCCTGAGGAGAGAGAGCGATAACCCTAATATCTAGTTTCATTACACATAAAACTATATACAGTATTAGGGTGGTCATATTTAGCTGTTTCATCAGATGAGGGTTCCTTAGCCGACAAATTATGAATGGCTATTTATTGTATTTGAATGAAAAAATACAAAAATGAAAAGACACAACATATACACATACAAACACACACACAGACGGGTGACTAAGAGCTCGGTCCACTCCAGTCTCCTCCTACTCACTGCTCGGAGCTCACACAGAGACGTGGGCTGAGACACAACACAACACTGAGACAGACAGACATACAGACTCTCATGCTCCAGTGTCTGTTTGAATAATATCTTCATGAAGTTCGGCAATCACAATTCTGTCTTGTTTGACAGTGTGACAGTGTGACAGTGAGGACATGGGGCAGGGTCTGGTGAACGTGGTCTCGCAGATGAACATGAATCTGCTAATGTCACTCTCTCCACCTGTGTCTCCTTCACTACACATTTAGCTTCACTTGTGAGAGAGAGCCCTGTGAGTCACTAATTGACTGTCTTTTTGATTTTGTCTGTAAAGATGTAAAGATATGACCAGAGAGAGACCAGAGAGAGACCAGAGAGAGACCAGACAGATATGACTACTTTTACCTGTCGTGTTGTGTCTCCTTCGCCAGTGTTGCTTTGAGCGCTGGTGTCGGAGTCTGTGATCCTGATGGCAGGAGGCTGCTCTCTGCCAGCGTAGAAGTTCCTTAACTTCTTACTGTGGTTTTTACCCTGAAAACACACACACACACACAGAAAAATACATGCAAGTTAGAGACCAGATAGCGACCGTAAAGAGACAATAAAGAGAGACCAGAGACAGACCAGAGACAGACCAGAGATAGAGAGAGACCAAAGAGCGGGACCAGAGACAGACCAGAGAAAGACCAGTGAGAGAAACCAGAAAAAGCTGATCTTAAGATGTGACAGAGGCCAAAACTACTTAATCATCCCTGTGTTTGAAGTAAATAAATAATAATGTGAAGAGACTTTGATAGTCCAGAAAACAGCTGTATAAAACCATGTATATCATTATTATCTTTTATTAAATTCAGATCAGTTCTTCATAGATGCATGTTTGTCCAAATCAGTGAGCAGAGAACAGCAGGCAGCGCTCACAGTCCGGTCTCAGCTCAGCGTGGATCTCATCGTTACTTCTCGCCCGCACACATGGTAACCATGTGTTTCTGAGAGAGACATTTGTACAAGTGGCTCCTCTCTGTGAGACTGGGACTGGGAAAACATAACTAAAGCAGGACAACAGGAGACAACAGAAGACCCCCATTAAGATGTATAATGCACCTTCCATTAAACCAGAACCAGAAAGATAGATCGTAGAGAGCCCAGAGAGAGAGCGAAAGAGAGAGAGAGAGAGAGAGAGAGAGGAGAGAGAGACCAGACAAAGACCAGAGAGAGAGAGGGACAGAGAGGGATGGAGAGTGAGTGATACTAGAGAAAGACCAGAGAGAGACCAGAGAGAGACCAGAGACACCAATATGTCACAAAACTTTTCACAGGGTCACGTAACAGAGTGGGTCTCTGCCTTTATCGTCCCGGGAAAGTAGCTCTCTGGGTGTAAAAGGTTGGAGACACCTGATCTACAGTCTCCCTTTGAGCAATATTTTCCATGACTTTGGTATTCAGTTTCATTGTTACGCTGATGAGAGAGAGACCAGAGAGAGGCAGGGAGAAACCAGAGAGAGACCAGAGAGAGAGACCAGAGAGAGGCTAGAAAGAAACCAGAGAGAGACCAGAGACTCCAGTGAGTGAAAGACCAGAGAGAGACAAGAAAGAGACCAGAGAGAGATCAAAGAGAAATCAGAGAGAAACCAGAGAGACCAGAGAAAGACCAGAGAGAGAGAGAGAGACAGACCTGCAGTGAGTGAGACCAGAAAGAGAGACCAGAGAGAGGGGCCAGAGAGAGACCAGAGAGAGACCAGAGATAGACCCGAGATAGACACGAGATAGACACGAGATAGAACAAAGGGAGGTGATCTCCCCTCTCACCTGGTAGTGGGCCTGGGCCTGTTGTGTGGAGTTGAGGGTCACGTTGCAGAGTTTGCAGTAAAGTGGTTTGCAGAGTTCATCCAGCCCCAGGGTGTCGTCCTGCTCCTCGCTCCCCATGGACGAGCTCTCGCCGTGGGGCTGCTCTGCCTCCGGCGCGGCCTGTGCGGAGACCGGAGTGGGCGCCAGACCGGGGGGCACGTCTGTCACGAGAAGAACGTAAGAGGACATACAGGATGCAGAGCAGTGGTGTGATAAACCATGGTATTATGCTAAAGTTAGATTTTATACTTGCTTCTTTATTATGCTACAGTTAGAGATTGTAAATTATTTTAGTATAGAGTTATTGTGTTATTGCTGTAGATCCAGGACTGAGGCTGTAGAACCAAGTTTGAGGCTGTAGATTCAGGACTTAGCTTTAATGTTGTATTTTTCATATGTCTTTTTAGTATATTTGTGTAAGTAATAGATAAATAAAATCCCTTCACCTCTGCAGTCCTGACACTTACTGGGCAAGCTTGGGGTGGGCTCCCGGCAGGGGGTGGGAGGGAAGTGTGGCGGTAAGTGCAGTGGCGGTGGCATCTGTGAGTTGGGGGCCAGAGGGGGAGGCACCAGGGCGTGGCCAGGCGGAGGACACAGACTGACGGGGGGGCCCAGGGCAGGAGCTGAGGTCAGCGGAGAGCCCATGGCAGGGGCTGGGCCCAGCGGGGGGCCCAGGTTAGGAGGGGGCCCAGGGCAGAGGCCGGGTGTGGGGCCCATGGGTGGAGGTCCCAGAGGAGGAAGAGGGTCGAGGTGCGGGAACGGCTGCTGAGAGTGCGAGAAGAGGCTGAGAGGAGGCTTCAGCATGGGCTCGGCACCTGGAGAGAGAGAGAGCAGAGAGAGAGCAGAGAGAGAACAGAGAGAGAGCAGAGGGGCAAAGAGAGAGAGAGCAGTGTTGTGTCTGCTATAATTAATATTCTTTAATTCTACATAAAGTATGTATGTATCTTCATATGTGTAAAATTGTGTTTGGGATAATGTGAGCACGCAATGGCAGGAAGTCACTTATCTAAATCATAAGGCCAATGTGACGTTGGCCTTATGTTTGGTATAATTGTGTCTTAGGACATCTGGAGGGACAATAATAGTCTATAGATTCAATTTATTTACCATTTGCAGTAAAGGAGTTAACCAGGACTAGTCTATAAGATTATTGAATGACAAGTATTTATGACATCCTGCCCTTGCGCATCTATAAGAGCTCTGTGCTTGATGTGTTCTTTGTCATTCATACCATCCTCATTCTCAGAGCTGACCCAGGCTGACAGTGCTAAGCCTGAATTGGACTTGATGTATTCTGATTATGCCATTAAACTCTTTCTTTAATACATAACTCAGAGTGCATTCCTTCTCCAACACTATACTGGTTTGTGCGGGAAACCCCATCTTCTGAGAGAAGAAGATACAACAGCAGAAATAGCAACAAAGAGAGGACAAAAGCTGTGAATAATGACTTTTCAGTGACTTTGAAACATCTCTATCTACTTCTGCTGCTCTTAAATTATGCCCTTTAACAAAAGTACCCAATCAGAGCTCTTAACTGCACACTTCAAAGACCCTTCAGGTAAAAATAAATCAAGTTAACATTTAACTTGTTAACATTTACATATAAATCAGTGAGCTGAGACTATTTTATATCAAATCTGAATTAAAAATATAGAAAAAACACGGGATCCAAGTCAATGTGAAAATGCAAATCAATTCAACTTTATTACAGACTAAGTCCACTTTGAAACACACACACACACACACACACACACACACAAGACAATAATAGCAAATTAATAATCTCTCAAACTATCAGTCAAAATAGATTTTAGACTGAAGGGGCGGAGCTACACGTTTGTGCCATAAGTTCATGTTACTGGCATGGACGGATCTAAAATGTAAATTCATAATACTTCTCCTTTAAATTAAGCAATATACTGTAAAACCTATTTTCTATATAGGAAGACTGTTTATTCCAGGTGCTAATAGCATAAAAGAGAATAGTTGGAGCTAATCCCGGGAGATTAACCTCTTCCTCTGATGAAAAACATTTCTTGGCACTTGGAACATGCCAGTGCCTTTTCCCATGGAGCTCCTGCTTTGTTGCCGCGTGCCTTTGTCAGAGTTACATCACAGGAGGTTAATCCAATCATCTCCAACTGCTGTAAAACACAGGGCAGAGCCAGAGGCAGCCAGCCCGGGTCTCTGTGGCCTAAAGGGGATTGGGTCTCTGCTTCAGCCAGGGTCTCTGCGGGTCTAAAGAGGGATCAGTCTCTGCATTCTGGTTCAGAGCAGAATGCCCAGGGGAGAGCAGCAGCTGACAGATTTACAGCACATCAGAATACTGTATGTGTGTCTCTGTGGGTCTCTCTGGTCTCTCTCTCTCTGGTCTTATAGTCTCATTGGTCTCTCTCTCTGGTCTCTCTCTGTCTCTCTGGTCTCTCTCTGGTCTTTCCCTGGACTCTCTCTGGTCTGTCTCTCTGTTCTCTCTCTGGTTTTTTCCCTGGACTCTCTCTGGTCTTTCCCTGGTCACTCTCTGGTATTTCTCTGGTCTCTCTCTGGTCCAGGTGTAGGTAGAACTCCTCACAATAAAAAAAGATTATTTCAATTAAAATAATACCATAGAAATAAACTTCATAATGAAACAGAAAAAGTCACAAATGTGCATCATTAGATTTTATACTGAATTCTTGCTTCTTAATTATGCTAGAGTTAGAGATAGTAAATTATTATAGCACAGAGTTGTTGTGTTATTGCTATAGATCCAGGACTGAGGCTGTAGATCCTGAGACTTTACACTTCATGAACTAAAAGCCGTCAAATTGACTGCTCTGGGAGTTCCAGTGTTAAGCAATGATCTCTCTTGTAATTCCGACCAATCGCACGTCTCTCTTTCAGAGTCTGTGACCTGGAACTGTCTGCTCTCTGTGGCCGATCGTGATCCTTTCGTCTGCAGCTGCTGCTGTTAGAGCCTCATTAACAGAGAACTGAGGTTATAAGGAGAGGTCTGTGAAGAACAGAGCAGCAGCAGTAACAGCAGCAGCAGCAGGAGTAGCAGTAACAGCAGCAGCAGTAGTATAACAGCAGCAGCAGCAGTAACAGCAGCAGCAGCAGGAGTAGCAGTAACAGCAGCAGCAGTAGTATAACAGCAGCAGCAGCAGTAGTAGGAGCAGCAGCAGTAACAGCAGCAGCAGCAGGAGTAGCAGTAACAGCAGCAGCAGTAGTATAACAGCAGCAGCAGCAGTAGTAGGAGCAGCAGCAGTAACAGCAGCAGTAGTAGCAACAGTAACAGCAGCAGTAGAGGAAGCAGATGATGGGTGAGTGGGTGTTTTAAAAGCGGGGAGCAGGTCGATTCTCTGGCTTCTCTGCCTCATCATTGTACTTTTAATGTGGATATAACCGTTTAAATGGGCCCTGTGGTCAGCTCTACATACTCACACCAGCACACACACACACACACACACACATGCAGACGTGTTTCTAATGCGCTACATGTATACTGCAACAACACCATACAAACGCATGTAAAAAATAACAGTTACCTTTCTATAAAGTCAGAAGAAAACATTTGTGGCTTGTGTGCACTGAGATGATTAATTCAGAGGACTTTCTCTCTCTCTGGTCTATGTCTGGCCCCACTCTCTAGTCTTTCTGGTCCTTCTTTAGTCTCTCTCTTTGGTCTCTTTCTGGTCTCTCTCTGGTCTCTCTTTGGTCTCTCTCTGGTTTCTCTTAAATCTCTCTCTGGTCTCTCTGGTCTCTTTCTGTTCTCTTTCTGTTCTCTTTCTGTTCTCTTTCTGTTCTCTCTTTAGTCTCTCTGGTCTGTCTCTGGTCTCTCTGGAGTCTCTCTCACTTCAGTAGTCGTGAGTTCAGGTGGTTAGAGAAGTGTAAGAGTGTGTGATGGTTTTACAGAACATACAGCTTACTGAGAGGATTTAGCTCATAATTGTGGCTTATTTTTAGAACACATCACCCCCGCAATGATAAACCAGGGACCAGTGTGACTCAAACTGTGCCGCTAGTTCATATGGTCACATAATCTCATGCATACTGAGACAATATCTGCCCATTGTGATACCAGCTGTATTCAAACTTATTTCCACAGGAGGAGTAAGTGTTTGTCTGTAGTTCTGATCCTACTTTTACTGAGTCACAGCTCGAGCCCCAAAACCCTGGGCAGTGTGTGTGTGACTGTGGTGAACTATGATTTGGCTTTAGGCTGGACGAAAAGCTGCAGCTGGTGCCGATGGTGCGTGCTTTCCATGGTCCTCAATCCCTGGTTAAAGACCCACAGGCCCAGAGGGACGATCCCCAGCATCAACTTTTAACCAGCGTCTTCCACAAACATGCAATAAGACCAGCATTAAGAATAGAAGCTTTGGAGGACCAACCAGTCACAGGGAATCAGTGCTGCCACTACTGGTTTTTATGGTAATACCATATACTGTACTAAAGAAAATTGCAGGTTTATGACTTCCTGTTAGTTGAGGAAATCCAACTCCCTCTGGTCTCAATTAAATTCTATGTGACGCGATTGGATGAGATATTACTATTTTTAAGAAACTGTTATGATTTATCATAACATGTGGGGTGGGAGTTAACAGGTGTTTCTTCTTCCCACTCCATTTTGAGCTCATGGAGCAATTTGTGTATAATAACAATAATGGCTATGTAAAAATTTAAAGCTTGTTTTATTCTTTTTTTTTTTTTTTCTGTGCTCGGGTGCATTAGTGATGTGGGTTGTATATATTTGTTGGTGTGGTTTGGTGCACCATTGTGGATTTGGATCAGAATCAGAACACTTTGTTACTCTGTGAGTAACAGGAAGTCACAAACTAGGAAGTTGCTTTCGCTCTTGGTGCAAACAAGTTAAAATAGAATAAAATCAAAGGCATGCATAAATAAAAATCTACATAAATGTCTTCGGTTTACTATATACAAAGTGCACTAGGTGCACACAATATACCCCTTAGGATGAAGTAGAGAGCAGTAAAGTGACAGTAGCATAAAGTGACGGTCATAAGGTCAGAGGTCAGTGGTGACGGTGATGGAGGAGGTGAGGATGGACTCGATGATGGCCGTGTAGAACTGCACCAACGTCTGTGCAGGCAGCTTGGCTTTCCTGAGCTGCCGCAGGAAGTACATTCTCTGCTGGATGCTTGTTGTGTGTACAAATGTGTACTATATATAAGCTCGGAAGGAACAAATAAATACATAAATTCAATTCATTCTTGTAAAGCCCTAAATCACAACAGTTTGATTTGCCAACACAGATCAGAGAATCAAACAGTTCAAACACAAGAAATGCAATGATAAAAACACATTGAGCCATTGGTCCATAAGGGGCAGATGACCAATGTCCATAAATTATGTTAAATGTTGAATAGAATAGAGTGTCATAGAATGTTAGATTGTCCTGGATCATCACCACAATCCTTCTTGTTGGACCTTTAACAGTCCAACAGAGCCTCCTGCATCGGCAAGGAAAAACTCCAAAACCCAGTGGGAAAAGGTGAGAAACCTCGGGGAGGTCATCTCTCTCTCTGGTCTTTCTCCCAGTTCTCTCTCACTAGTCTTTCTCTGCTCTGTCTGATCTCTCTGGTTTCTTTCGGTGTCTCTCTCTGGTCGCTCTATGGTTGTATATATAAGTATTCTACAGTAGATTAAATTGCCTTGAGGCCATTGCTCCTTTCTCCTTTGAGCGTTTGGGGGGGGGGGTCTCTCTGACAGTGAGCAGCCTCCAGGTGACAGACTCTGGAACAACAAACATCCCGGCGCTCTGTTATTTTGGGTTTTGTGGACGAGAGCTCCAGGATTCCACATGAAAGCTGCAAGTGGTGTTTGGGGACCCAGCTGTCTGACACATGCTTCTGTCACTGCCACCGGCTTTAGTCCTGGAGACAGGGACCCGAGCCCATAACCCAGACCCAGCCTGGATCACAGCACAGGCTTAGACTACAAACGAGAACCCAGCGGAGAATCACAGCGGAATTAGAATTAGTTGTATTAGGCCCAAGAGGGAAAGTCCCATCGGGCAGACTCTTATAACCATATTAAAGGTGTACTATCCGACAGGTGGGTGCTGCACGAGACCTCAGCTTTCAGGTTTACATGAGAATCTATGAACTCATGAGGCTCATCAAAATATTTCAAAGAGCAGTATGTAAAAATGTGGCCAAAAGTGGTACTGCAACCTCTCACACTCGCCCTGACTCAGTTTGCCAGATATTCAGAAATCTGAATAGACAATCTGAATGAACAAGAGTTTTGTCAACAACAAATCTATAACCAACACCTTCGTCACAAAGCCTGATAGAAATCCTTGTTTTATTCCTTATTTGTCATGACTCATTTGTGAATCATAACAAGACCTTTTTTAGTGCTGATATGTTACTTTACCAGTGAGATTATCTCAGCGCAATGAGTCCACGGGCCCTCTAAATCAGTGGTTCTCAAACTTTTCACACCAAGTACCCCCTCAGAAAAAATTTGCCTCTCCAAGTACCACCACAAATGACCAACACCTGCACACAGTAGCGAAGTAAGCCGAAGTATTCATCAAAAACAAGACAGAGGTTTCATTCCTAAAGAAGTATATTTAATGTAATATTTTACACAGTTTCAACAGTAAGACTGGGCTTAAATATAGCAAGAAAAAAAAATTGTACTTAAATAATGATTCAATTAAAATGTTTCATTCATTACGAACTGCAAAGCCTCAGAGCAAAGCAAAAAGACTAGAAAGGATCTGATCTTATTTCCTTGAATGTTTTTAGATCCAGATTGAGACATCTTCAGTGAAATGCACCTCTTTTTATAATCAGTAATTTTATGAAATTGTGTGTTACTGTTGTATAATCTGTATGTGACCGCTTTATAATCTGTAATTTTATGTAATTTTTGTACACGAAAAAGAGGTTCTCATTGACTGCCAGCCATTTTTGATGACTTCACTGATTTTTAAGACTCACAGAATATTGTGTGCTATGAAAAATAAGAAACCAGAGTCTGAAAGAAAGAGAAAATGTGGTTTTTGTGAAAACAGACAAACTGCAGAAAAGTGATTGTAAAACTATTTAGTTTAACTTTAGCATCTCCTCAAACATGTCCAGGATCATACATGTTAGAAAAGTTATGAGAAAGTGTTTTTAATGTAAAATAATGAGTTTTATGGCACACTCACATCCACAAAGTGTTGCTCGAATGTTTCAAAATGTACTCATCCAAAAAATGTCAAAATGTACATATTGAAAGTAGAGCCCATGACAAACTATGGCAGAAAGAATGGCCAGTATTCATCCATTAGGTGGCGCTATATTTATGTTAATAAGAGTAAATCAAAGAATTACAATGATAAACACTATACATGACAATAAATCAAAGTGAATACTTATACTTATAGTATAAGTGCAATAGAATACTGCTATGTGTCTTTGTGTGTTTGGGCGCGCATGTATGTGCGTTTATGCACGCGTTTGCGTGTGTTTGTGTGGTTACATCTACAGAGCGTCTGTTTAGTCCAGCGAGCGCTGTGACCATAACTGGACTTTTCCGCTGGCTCCTGGTGCGGACCCAGTGATAGTTTTAGCAATAGTCCACTTTTCTGTGGCTTTTTTGGGGTGCACCGCTGGTCTGCTGTCCTGACCCTCCACATGGTCTGCTGCTCTGACCCTCCACATGGTCTCTGTCAGCTCTGGAGACACATTTACTGCTCAAACGGCCTCCAAATGTAGCCTGACTCTGACTATATTACTCCATGTCTGCTTCACCTCTGTCTCTCCTGCTCAGAGTGCTCAGAGTGATCTTTGACCAAACCAGGGAGTTCTGCTGCCACCTGCTGGCTTAATAAAATACTGTCTACAGCCAAACCCCAGACTGTATGATACAGGGGACACAGACTGACAGGAAAAGATTGAAAAACAATGTTGTCCTCAAATGACATCCATGGCTGTCAATGAGTTCATCTCAATGGGACTTTCCTGGTAAAATTAAAACTTTTTTTTTTTTTACTGATTCTTTGGCGTACCCCTAGAGGGCGCCCGCGTACCACTAGGGGTACGCGTACCCCAGTTTGAGAAACACTGCTCTAAATTATAAAACGGTGGAGGGCGGGATATCAAAGATTTACGGGTTGAAAAACCTTTTTTTCAGTTAAAGAATTATTCGAAAAGAGCATGGTTTAATAATGCCTTTTGACATATTAAGTCTATCTAATGATGATACTTTAAGGCTGTGAGAAATGTTTCCCCAAGTTGTAGATTCACCAAAAAAAATGTAAAATTAATCTAGTTACAGAATTCTACTTGTTTTGATATAGAATAGATTTCAAACATTATACAAAAGAAAACAATATAAACAATACAAAATAAAAATAAGACACAAAATAAACCGTTTGAAAAAGAGGCTGAACGAAGCACTCGTTCAACACAACCCACACAATCACACACATGCAACACAACAAACACTTGACACAAGCACTACCCACGACAAGGCACAGGTCCAAACACTCTCTGACCACACACCTCCCTCCCACTACTGGCTTTGTGCTTAAGTCCTCACTCCTCCACATACAACAGCTTTCACATTTGTATAGTACATTTGAAAGGATTAGGTCAAGAGGAGGTGAAATTTTATTTGTGTGGCACTAAAATCGATCCGGCTTTTCACAAAACAACTTGGTAAAGAGCAAAGCGTAAGTCTTCAGGTCTTCAGAAGAGTATAGTTTTCCACTTAACCCTGTGTATGAGCTGTGATCAGTGTGAGATCAGCTTCAGGCTCCGCTACAGATGACCCCCGCCCCTTCCCTCCCCCCTCCTCACCCCCTCCTCCCCCACCACAACCCCCTCCGCTCCCCCCACACTCTCAGCCTGAGGTGGAGAGGTCTGCTCCATCAGCGTTCTGCCGACAGCAACAAGCGGCTAATACGAGTCAGAGGGATTCAGATCATCGAGATGTTGATGCTACAGTGATGTCACACTCAGTCAGTCCAACTCCGGCTCATTAGCAGCTCATTACAGTACATGGTGACAAAAGTATAAAAGCATTCTATTGAAACTGTGTCTTGTTATTACAGTCTATAGTTCATTAGAAATCACAGTTAAATTAGTGTTCTAGCGGAATATAAATTATTCAAACATGAATTGTGTAAAAGACAAAGGAACACAACTATAACATGTGAAGAGCTGTACATGTATGCTGATCTCTCTCACTGGTCTCTCTTTCTGGTATCTCTCTCTGGTCTCTCCATGGTCTCTATCTCTGGTCTCTCTCTCTCTCTAGTCTATCTCTGGTCTCTCTCTCTGATCTCTCTCACACTGGTCTCTATCTCTCTCCCACTTGTCTCTTGCTGGTCTCTCTCTGGTCTCTCCCTAGCCTATCTCTGGTCTGTCTCTCTGGTCTCTCACAGTTGTACAGAGTGTTCATGACATCACACTGTAACAGGACTGCAACAGAAGCTTTTAAACAAAAGGGGGCCGAGCTACATGTTTGCGCCAAATAATAGCGAGGATGGAGCTTAAAACCACTCCAGGTCTGTGAGAGCTGAAGGGATAATGTTGTCGCAAGCTCCAAAAAACACATAAACCAGGAGTAAACCAGAAGAGGACAGACAACGACCAACAACAACAACAATTTGGGTGTATATTAATAATTCACATCTATCCATCCATGTGTTTTTATTGCATCTAGTGAAACTAAAATCTCATAAACTTAATATCGGCTCAGTGACGCATCAGTTTGTGTCTAAATGTTCCATATTCCTCCTGGAGGTAAATGCTAATGCTCTGGTCTCATCGTCGCCTCCTGTTTTATTCTGAACCATAATTATGATCAAATAACTTCTGCAGAAATGGCCCTAATCACCTCCATCATCACGAACACTCAGAAATGCATTTCAGACACAGAACTCAGTCTTTAAAAGAGATTCAGACAAAAACAATTATATAGTTTTATCCACGGTAATTATTTATTAGAAAAAATATTTTTTTGGGATTGTTCGACACAGTATAAAGGCCTCTATAATTCCCCCTGGAAATTTCACATATTCTGAGCCTCTGAGTAAAAAGAAAAGAAATTCGAAAGACTGATCAAACCAACAGGAAGTCGGCCATGATGGTCTGAAAGCTTCTTTGCCGCAAATTGGACAACTAATTTATGGATTTGAACAAGTCCATGGCCATACAGACTTCTACCATGTCATTTCCCAATCTGGATGGATGAAGTTAGGTTAATCCCTTCGAAAAAGTTAGAAATTCTTCACCGTTTTTTGTCCCTCGCCATGGCGAACACGGCCTTCATTTTGGGTGTTTTTGCTGAGCCCTGAGGGCCACAGGCTCAGACCTACAGAGCTGAGACTCACATCAGTGATATTAAGTTATGGCCTGAACGTGATGGAATTAAAGTAATTTGCCCATTATGAGCTCTTTAGCGCCACCTGTTGCAAAGTAATAGGGCACTAGTGCTCGGATCGGACCGAAAATCACTGACTCTCTGTAATCTCTGAACCAAGACGAGCAAAACAAGAAATTACGCAAAAGTTATAAGTCCCAACCCTGACCACTTGGGGTGCCCTGCATTCTTTGAATGAACTTTTAGAGCACAATGTTTGTCCGATGAAGCAAGAAATTAATTCACAAATACAGCGTATGAGCCTGAACACAACAATCGATAGATAGATAGATACTTTATTGATCCCCGTACACGAGAAATTCAGGGTTCCAGTAGCAGCAAAAACACATCCTTCATTAGCCTTTTTAGAAGGTTAGCCCCCCTCTAGTGGATTTTCTGCTTGTTTTGGACCATGTATCCTCTCCGCTCCAGTCTGGACCAGTGTTAAACCATGAACACAGACTGGAGCAACATCACTGGTAGAAAAAAGCAAGAAAAATAATAATTGTAAAACACAAAACAACAACTGTTTCAGAGCTACTTAGGGCTTGCTCCTGTTTTCAGCGCATTCAAAAGTAAAATATGCAACACAAACTGTGAGTGAAACAGCGCCACCTACAGGCTCAAGGTGTTGTGTTTTTGAATTTGATCTGGCCCAGGTTTTTCATCGCAGAGACTTCTACCATGTCATTTTCCCATCTGGAGGGATTGGAGATACAGTTTTCGAGAAAAAGTTTGAAATTCTTCACCGTTTTCATGCGAGGCGGTGGGGACTTTCTTCATGTTTGATGCTCTGTCCAGGTGGCAGCAGTCTGAGCAGAGACGCTCAAACTTCCCTCTCCACACACGTGGGGAATCCTGAGGTGTTCCCAGCTGAGAGACACAGTCCCTCTGTGTCCTGGGTCTTCCCCTCTCAGAAAATCTCCCCAAGGAGGCGTCCAGGCCGGCATCCCAAACAGATGAGACACCTCAACTCGCTCCTCTCGACATGGAGGAGCAGCGGCTCTACTCTGAGCTGCTCTCGTGTGACTGGGCTCCTCACTCTATCTCTAAGGAAGCTCTACTCTGGAGGAAACCCATGTGGAACGTTTCAATCTGTTGTTTCATAAGTCATTACCCAAAAATCATGACCATAGGTAAGAGCTCTGGTCTACTCTACCTGGTTATGTTTACATTATGGTTCAGAATCTGGTACCATATCCTTACGACATGCCCACAACATACCAGTATCCGTGGAAATTCCTTGATAACCATGACTTCCAACAGCAAAGTCAGTTATAACTGACCTGGTACTAGTTACACAGGACCAGTAGAGTAGGGTAGAGGAATACTACAACAGTTCTGTCTGTGGATCCATAGAAATATAGATTCCAAACATTATTCACTACCAGCAGCAGTTATGAACGGTCATAACACTTCGCTCTCCGTCAGATTGGAACAGGACAAAAGTGTCACATTGTTTTAATCCAGAATCTGCTGTAGTGAACATAAAAGTGACAAGGGCAGCAGCAGCGTCCCAGGCCGACGTCCCCAAGCCCCTGTCTCGTCCCACTCTGAGAGGCACAGAACAAACACAAAACTGAACCAGCAGCAACTTTTTGACACCACAAACAAACAAACAAACAGACATAAAAAAATATGATGGTATTTTGTTTCTCTCATCCACTGCATCCATCATCAGTTTTATACATGCTCAAAGTTCTCCTCACTTCTGTCAGTGTGCCCCAGGGCAGCTATGGCTACACTAGTAGTTTATCACCACTGTATTTGGAGTGAAGGAATAATGCTGTGAAGAGTCTTAAGTGTCCAAAAATTGCTGAATAAATCCATTCATTATCAATATTATTATTTTTCTTTAGTATTCACAGCTTAGTATTCACAGCCGGTGCTTCAGCCGGTGCTTCAGCCGGTGCTTCAGCCGGTGCTTCAGCCGGTGCTTCAGCCGGTGCCTCAGCCGGTGCCTCAGCCGGTGCCTCAGCCGGTGCTTCAGCCGGTGCCTCAGCCGGTGCTTCAGCCGGTGCTTCAGCCGGTGCTTCAGCCGGTGCTTCAGCCGGTGCCTCAGCCTCAGCCGGTGCCTCAGCCTCAGCCGGTGCCACAGCCTCTGCCCAGTCCCCTCACTGTCGTCCTAAATAGATCAGCACTTGTTTTTCTGCTGCGTCTTTAGCTGAACTGAGTCGTGTCGCATCAATTATGAAGAAATGAGAAGCACATGCCCAGTGCTTGAGTCCCATCTGCTCTTTGGCCCACGGGAGACAGGCCCCATCACACTCACACCACAGAACCAACCCGACTGAGGGAAGAGCAGAGACGGTCTCAACATGAGTGGAGTCACAAAAACAATTAAAGTCGCAAGCGGCGTCTTAAGGCCCTCACTGCATCTCGCAAAGGAGGTGCGGTAGAGTTTTACAATAACTAATAATAACTGTGATTCTGCCCTCAGAGCTGGAACGAGAGCTCTGAGGGCAGAATCACAGTTATTGTAAAACTATAATGTGTCTGATCAGTGAGTGCCTCCATTGAAAAACATGGGAACTGTCACATTGAAAAAAACAATTTGAGCACATTCTGACTCCCGTAAATCAAGATTAGCCGATGGGACATAACAAAATTATCTTGTTTTAAAATGATACAAGAAGTGAAATGAAGTGAAATGAGAAATAAGACTAAATAGCTTTGTCCCATTTACAAATCTTGTTTTCTGACTGTCAGAATGTACTCAGATTAAAATAAAAAACACTTAATTCAAGCATTTATGAACTCATATTTGATCACTTTTACAGTATTCTTTGGCCGCACACTCTCTGGAGGACTGTCTGTCTCAACACAGTGTCTGAAAAATAACTGCAGGTGAATGGTCTATATTTAGAGCCTGTTTGTCAGCAGTCCATTGAACTCAACTTTAAACCACTCGGTTCAAAGCCACAAGCGTTAGATTCAGCAGCGGCAGAAATAAAAGGAGGGGAATTAGGGCTGAAAAAACACAAAAATTACAATCTAAAAAAGTGATGATTCTTCCTTCTTCCAAGTGTGTAAGTCTCTCAATGTACATCAGTGACATATTAGTGCCATATGAACCAACTCGGACTCTGAGACCAACTCGGACTCTGAGGAGCACAGGGACTGGCCTCCTGCTGGACTAAACAGTCTTCCTGAAAATGTGAGACAGACTTTTTCTCTGACAAAGTTCAAAAACGTTCAGGTTATAGGAAAGTATTGCACAGTATCTTCTCTTTTTGTATACGCTGTGGTTATTGTCTTGTGTGTTTGTTTTTCAATCTTGTTTTGTTCAGCACTTTGAGTTGCCTTGTCTGTGTATAACCTGTGCTACTTGCCTTTCCTTTCCCATGTCCATTTCATTCCTGATTACCAGAAAGTTTGTCATTGAATCTAAAACCCACAAACTCATGGCGGCAGCAAAGGTTCAGTGCTTTCAGCAGATTCTCCAAAGCAGAAAGCGCTGAGTCGACACTGCACTAATCAAAGAGGTGACCATTCGTTCTAAACTCCATTGCTCCAGACCCATAGATCCAGAACAGAGGTGCACATCAGGCCTCTTTAAATCGTGACGCAGCTTCGACTTGGATACAGAGACATTCCCCTCCTACAGTTCAAACAAAAAGATCAAACCATTAGCCTACATTTTCTCGTCTCTGAAATGCTTCCACTTCACACCACTAAACATCCTGCAAAAGAGGCGCACCACAGACTGTACACTGATGGACAATGCTAACCTGCTAGCTTAGACATGTCAAACTCAGACTCGTGGGACAAATCCGGGCCCACAAGACAATTTTTATTGGCCCACTTCAGGAAATGACCCAGCCACGAATGAATCGGAAGAAAATGGATGGATGGATGGATGTTTAACTTTGTATTTGGTCCAGTTTTGGTTATATCTAACCAATAAACACATTTTGTTTTCAGAAATATCAACCGGGAAATACAATGTAAAAATCTATTATAAGAAAAGGAAACCTCTTCTATTCTTTCAGCCCCCAATTAATTCCTATTTCTCTTATTCGGCCCCTGACCAAAATGAGATCAATGCACTAGATCAATGAAGGGAGCCTAATAGGGAAGTGCTCTCCGGCTCCCATTGACTTACATGTAAAAGCAAATTTATGGAAATATCATTCCTCATTATAAATCTCAGAACAGACGATGTGTGTCATTGGCCCCTGGACAAGTCTGATGACCAAAAGTGGCCCTCTTACTAAAAAGTTTGGACACTCCAGCTTTAGCAGCACCATGGATCTATAAAGCAGCACGCAGCACACGAGTGGACAGACCAGCGCTGCTCCTGATTGGCTCTTGGTAACTCTGCAGTTGCTATCGACAAAATATGCATGAAGTTTCTCCACATTCCTGCCAAAGGAGAGGGTTCGAGTTAACTCTAATCGGTTTCTTCCGCACTAAAGCTAACACTAAGTTACACGCGGTCAGTCCACTTCTCAGATGCAGTCTGTGCAAAACAGACACATGGAGAAGGAGCAACAGAGGTAAAAATGTTGTCTTTGTTACTTCTCGACTGTTTCTTTACTCTTGATCCAGTTTAAGTGACTACAGCATTTATTTATGTAATTCAAGAGACAAGAGAGATCCTTCATTCGTCACACAGTGGGGACATTTATTTTACATGATACAGATTCATTACAAAGTGACAAAAGGCTTTCTTTGTAATAATGATGATGGTTGTGGCACAGTAAAAAATTTTTTTTTTAATTTACAACTATGAGCCAACATCATAATGGAGAGGCTAAATAAATCTCCCTCTGCTGTCACGAGTCTGTATTAGTCTTACATTAGTTTCACATTGTAAGTTGAATCACAGAAAAAATTTGACTTTTGAACTACTCCGAGTTTCATCACAAACAAAATAACCTATTTCAATTCAATTCAATGTATTTGTGAATCGCTCTAAATGACAACAGCAGTCATAGGAGGTCTTTACAGAGAATTTACATCAGAGAATATACATCAGATAATCACACAGTTCAAACACAATGATAAAACAACCCATTGGTTCATAGGGAGCTGGATGACCACTGTCCAGAAATGTTAATAAATGTGCAGAAACATCCTGGATCGTCACTGTGCTTAGACCCTCCTGCATCAGAGGGGAACCACTCAGAAACCCAGAGGGAAGAGTGAGAAACCTCAGGGAAGGACCATATTGTGAGAATGATCCACTCCCACGGACGGAGAGGCGACCAAAAGTCTTTTATCATATGCCAACTTGCTTTATGAAAGTGTCTGAAATGTAATGCCATTGTGTCAGTCGTTTTCTATTTGTGTGGAACATGTTCAAATTCACATTCTCTATAACAATATGAGCTATAAAAACATATTATATCATCAACACACATTCAGATTAGAGAAACAAAAGTCTTCCAAAAAAATCCCTTCCATCCTATGACTGCAGTTTGTGTGGGCTTTTATATGAATGAAGGGTCCAAAATAACATAGTGACTGCGACTGTAAGTGAAAAACAATGCTATAAATATGTTAAAGTAAATCTATGAAGATGGAGCTAACGCATGTAAAAAGAATATGCATTTGAGCTTATATCTCTAATGTAGATGTTATACTTGCTTCCTTATCACGCTAAAGAGATTTAATACTTGCTTCTTTAATTCACTTAAGGGTAGAATAGAGTGATCATTAATTTATCTTTTGTGCTGTGTGCTCCTCATTCTTACTGTACTGTAACTGGTGATGCAACACTGAAATTTCCCCACTGTGGGATGAATAAAGGATCTCTTCATCTTTATCTATAACGTGAAATCATGTTGCACAGGTCTCACGTCCAATGAAATGTCAGTTATGGCCAAAAATGTATTGATTCTAATGAGTGGGAACAACCTCCCAAGTCCAGATGCACATTACACCACTACTGCAGCAGCATCGCATCTCACCCCGGTGTCATCCTCACCCCAAGCCGGCCTTACTTACCTGTCAGCCGCGGGAGGTAATGGCCGCTGTCCCCGTAGCCGATGGCAGGTGGGGCGGAGAAGTGCCTGCAGTAGTCCGCCGCGGCGCTGAGGTGATGGTGGTGGTGGTGGTGATGGTGGAGGGCCATCATGCTCTAGCATCCCCGTGCGTCTGCCAACTTCTGCGCTGAGCTCCAAAAAAAAAAAAAAAAAAAAGAATCTGGGCGAGCGAAGCGAGAGAGGACCGAGCGAAGACTGGGCTAGAACTGCACCAATGCGCATGCCCAAACCCTGCCACGCATCAATATTGACCTATATCCGCGCATAACCTGCGACACAGTAAGTTCCCCTGCGTGGTTATCACAAACGAAAAGCTTTTCAGTGTAAGGTTGAGTTTGCAACGGCGTGCGTAACGGTGCCACTTTTACGCACGGCCCCTGGGTCTCACACAGTGGTACAGTCCGCCTCCAGCAGCAGCGCAGCGGTGGCAGTTGTGACACATGGAAAGAATATGTTGCACCTCGATCTCATTTACGCTTCGGGGACCGTGTATGAGCCGTAATGAACCGGTGGAGAGCCCCGGACGCACGGGTGAATACTGAGCCAGGGTTAGATGTGTTCGTTCTGTTTGGATAATTGACGAAGGGTGGAGCCATTACTTTTACACAGATCCGCGCAGTTTAGATTATGTCACACATTGTTGAAGATCAATTATAAATGCCCCTTTAACACGCACTGCTAAATATCTGGATAAACTCAGATGTACGGCACGGGCGGCACGGTGGCTGAGTGGATAGCACTCTCGCCTCTCAACAAGAAGGTCCTGGGTGCGAATCCCGGTTGGACCAGGGCCTTTCTGAGTGGAGTTGGCATGTTCTCCCCGTGTCTGCGTAGGTTTCCTCCGGGTGCTCCGGTTTCCCCTACCACTAAAAATATGTACAATAAGTCTGTGCCTCCTGTACTGGCACCCCCACTCCCAAAAATCATAATTGTAAACCGCTTTGAGACTCCGATGTGCAGTGAAAAGGTGGTATATAAATAAAGATTACTTACTTACTACTACTACGCTGAAATAAAAATGTTAAATTGTATTAGTTATACGTGGTTCTAAAACTATACAAAAAATAAATAGCATGTTATCCATGTTCTTCTGCTTTATCTGTTGCTGGGTTACAGAGGCAGTAGTCTAAGCAGAGACGCTCCCAGACTTCCCTCTCCACACACACTTCCTTCAGCTCATCTGGGGGAACCCTGAGACGTTCCCAGGCCAACTTAGGCCAACTTAGAGACACACTCTTATGTCCTGTCTGGAGACTCAAAGGAGAATCACATGTCATTATTCTTTCACTCCAAACACAGCAGTGATAAACTGTTACAGTTGTCACAGTTGCCCTGGGCAGAACACTAACAGAAGTGAGGCAGTCCATGTCATTAGCCTCTCCCACCACCTCCAACCACTCACACACACACCAAAACTCATTTTAATGTGGGAGAAGTGTCTTGCCTAAGGACACAGCAACAGTTTGACACTTTACCGCCCCACTGTGGCACCTGGTGTTCCCAGAGATCTCCCATCACAGCTCTAGCCTGGCCCTGTCCTGCTTATTTTAAGAGGTCCAGCAATATCTGGCTTTCACCAGATATTGAAGTGAATCTTTGTAAATGTGAAACCTGCAGTGTTCCATAAAGTTTATTGATGTCATGACTCCCAGTGGACTCTGTGTTTATTCAGACGTGTTGGACCGAGATCACTGAATATGAAGCAATGAAATATTTAGTGTTGGATTGTATATCACAAAACAAAACATGGACGCTTTACACTCACACACACACGCACCCACACAAAGCCACACACAAAGCCACACACACACCCACACACACACACACATAGATAACACACAAAGCCACACACACAGATAACACACACCAGTGAAGAAGATAGAGCAGCTCAGGGATTCAATACATTTCTATTTATTTTTGTATAGCCCTAAATCACAAGAGTATCTCTGAGGGCTTTACAAATCTGTCTATTTGCCAACAACAGATCAGAGAATCAAACAGTTGGGGCGGATCTAAGGGGCGGATGACCAATGTCCATAAATGTTGATAAAGTCCATAAATGTTGTTGGATGTCGAATGTCCGGGATCATCACCACTGTCCTTACACCCTAGAGGGCAACAGGAGCTCTGTGGCTGGAATGATAGAACACATTTACAGTTTAGTGAATGAGCTGAGAGTGAAAACCTGATGAGGCCCAAACAGGAAGCACTCACAAACATAAGACAACAATAAGAAACACTCACTGAGTACTCAACATAATAACGGGTACTCAACACCAGTATATAAACTATATTAGCAATAACGGTTCTCTATTATTATTTATAAAAAAAATTGACTATAATAATTCATTTTTTGATGTTTTGGGCAGAGAGCAGATTTGCTGAGGGAGGGTGGTCCTCTCTTTTCCATAACTTACAGATGTGACAGACAAAATATATGAATGTGGAAAAAAGTGACTGTATTTTTACATTTATTTGATTTGGTTTTCTTTGAGTAGTTACACCTTTGTCATACATGCATCATGGTGCATTTCCACTCTACTCTGATCCACTCGGCTCGACTCTATTCAACTAGACTCTATTCTACTCTACATGGCTTCCAGCAGCACTCTGACCAATTACAGACAACTAGCTCGGCCTGAATAGAACCAGGGCCAAGAGGGACTAAAGAAGGACCTGGTTAAACAGGACCAGTGGAAATGCTTCCACTCAGGGGAGAGTAGAGTAGAGTAGAGTAGAGTAGAGCAGAGCAGAGTAGAGTAGAGCCAAGTAGGGCTCTACTCTACGCTGGGCCTTGCTGGGGCACAGTGATCAATGTTTCAGATTTAGTTTTATTAAAGTATTAAATTGCACTGAACACAACAAATTATTATTAAGGTATTATTTATTCAATAATAAACAACAACATTCTTGCATGTATTTGAATTATGTTTATGGGGTGGGAGTCGACAAGTTTTTACTTCCTTCCCACTCCATTTCGAGCTGACAAATTGTAAATAGAGGTTCATTTGTAAATACATATTGATATTCATATTGTAGATATACATCACATGGTGAAACTAGAGCAATTTTTGCTTGATTGTATAGTTATGTTTATATATTTTCATAGTATATACTGTTAGTACAGCAGGCAACATGTACAAAGAATCATGTAAACTAAGGAATGTAAATATTGTACAGTAAATACTATACTAATATCGGGCTATTAGATCCATTATTGGTGGGTTGAAAATCAGGTACCCCAGCTTTAATTATTATACTTAGTTATTAGCCACCTCTCCGTTGCTTTGCGTTTATTAACTATAAAACACGGTTGAAACACGTACAAATCCTACATTATTATTCAAATAAAAGTGATGTTTCTGTCCATGCTCACACAGTGCAGTGCAGGAGGAGGGAGGCGCATCATCACCCCCCAGACATCCTCCTCCTCCCCGGCTCCAACATGCTGCTATTTCCTCCACGGGGAGAACCACACTGACCCTGCCCATCTAAGCCTGCTCCACGCCGGGCAGCGAGAGGCGAACACAGCCTGCAGACGCTCCACTTCCACCCGGTCTGTGCATGACAGCTAGCGGGAACAGCTAGCAGCCTCCACCCGGGAGAGAGGCTGAGGAGGACGGGGAAAACAGCTCCACACCAACGCCTGGAAGGGATTACCTGCATCCATGTGACGCGATAAAGGTCAGTCTGACATGTGGAAGCTGAAATTACAAGCTCGTATTAGATGTTTTGGCCATATATGTTTTATTATTTTACGATAAATGAAGATGACATATAGCAGGCTAGCAGGAGTTAGCATTTATAGCATCATGTGTTTAAAGGAAGGGTATGGCTATTCATATGCACTTAGCTATAGGGACTTATTTTATGTAAACATGCATATAGACAAATATTAATGAATAGAATATTATATTATATTCCAAAATATGGAATATCAAGTGTATTGTTTATAGTAATAATACATTATTTGGGAAAAAAAACGTATGTAGTATGATTCCAATTAAGTTATTATTTATTTATTTTTTCAGATTTTTCTGTGTGTAATTACTATACATGTTTGTTGTATTGTCCTCATCTGAATACATTGTAATTATATTGTAATGGTATTATTTATGTACAGTCTATGCATCAGGGTTGTCAAAAGTATGAAACTCAAGACATTGATTTTAAAACCCGTATCAAAACTACTAATTAGAACAAGTATCATTGGTAATAACATTACTTAAACAACAGGACAAAAATGGACATTTCTTGAACAGATTTTGATTTTAAACTTTATCATTAGAACTTAAATTGTGTGTACTTGGACTTGTATAAAGATTTTTATGCATGTCTTATACCTATTTTTTACTTTTAAAACTTGTTTGCATCTTGAGCCAAAGCAATTTTTTTGTGTGACTTCCTGTTAATCTCAATTGTTGTGATTGATATTATTTTGAGTTAAAAATGTTAATTGTCCTAATAGAGCATTTAAAGTTAATCCAAATGAGTCAACATTTCTATCGAGTATCTAGTTTCTATTAAAATAAAGTTGGAATCTATCAGACACCCCTTAAAACATCACATATCCATTGAAGGAAAGAGATCTGCCTGTTCATAAATATGATTCATGGGTTAGGGTTAGGGGGTTTACATGTATACACTCATACTGTTTACTATAGTAGACAAATCTTGCAAAAATTTTCTTATCGTGTTGTTTATGTCCAGGCAGGAAGCTGAAGATGGATTGAAAGCAGGAAGAATGGTCCCATGATGTGAAGAGGAGGCTCTTTCAGGTATGAGGCGTGTGTTCCTGTTTGTGTTTCTGTTTTCTTTGTTACTCAGAGAAACTGAAACGCACAAAAGCTAGATTAAATAATAGGATTGTTACATGATATTGTAGTACAAACCGTCCCAGGCCTTGGTTGATACAAACATGTAATTATAACAAATTACAGTGGCCACAGTCATAAAGAAACAACTCTATTTCTATATTTGAATAAAGTATATGACCCTAATGTACAATTTAATCTGTCGAAATGTGTTAATGAAATAATATTAGCGTTCAGTGCCACTCGGTTTCAGTGGTGTGTCTTTTAAAGTCATAACTGTTTGTTAATGTTTGTTTTAGTTTTAAAATGTACCTTGAGTCTGTAATAAGGTTGAATATATCTGTTTTTATTGGTTACTAATCTCATGTTTACAGCTTTGACTCAGTAGTGCTTCCCTTTTGTTAGCTGTTTGGTTGTTGTTAGGTTTCCAGACTGTTTCTAAGGTAAAGGCAAGGGAAGTTTATTTTGTATAGCTAATAAACAACTCAAAGTGATGAACGAAACAAGATAGAAGCAATCACACAAGGCTTTGAACATTGTCAGAGAAGAAGCCTGTCTCACATTTTCAGGAAGACTGTTCCAGATTTTATCAGCATAAATCAGAAACGCTGCCTCTACATGTTTAGTCCTGACTCCCTGTGCTCTTCAGAGTCAGAGTTGGTTCATATGGCACTCACAGGTCCAACAATCTCTCAAATACCAGTATTGTATCGGTGCATTCCTAGTTCTGTCACTTTTAAGTGAGATAGAACTTGAGGTCTGCCATTATGATGATGCATCGGTTTTAAATAGCTCTTTTCAGGACACGGAAAGACGCTTCACATGTCATTAAAATATTAATGGTGGCATGATAACATTAAAAAATGATGGCCCTGAAGCATATTGATTTAACAAAATAAATGCATTTACAAAATAATGGCTTCCACTTTATTAACTATATGTGATGTAACAGAGACTCTCTGAGAATCTCTCAGAGACCAGAGAGAGAGACCAGAGAGACCAAAGAGAGAGACCAAAGAGAGAGACCAAAGAGAGAGACCACAGAAAGAGAGACCACAGTGAGAGACCAGAGAGAGCGACTAGAGAGAGAGAGACCACAGAGAGAGAGACCACAGAGAGAGACTAGATAGAGAGACCAAAGAGAGAGACCACAGAGAGAGAGACCACAGAGAGAGTCTAGAGAGAGAGACCAAAGAGAGAGACCACAGAGAGAGAGACCACAGAGAGAGACTAGAGAGAGAGACTAGACTAGACTGGGCGGCACGGTGGCTGAGTGGATAGCACTCTCGCCTCTCAACAAGAAGGTCCTGGGTTCGAATCCCGGTTGGACCAGGGCCTTTCTGAGTGGAGTTTGCATGTTCTCCCCGTGTCTGCGTAGGTTTCCTCCGGGTGCTCCGGTTTCCCCTACCACTAAAAATATGTACAATAGGTCTGGCATGTGCCTCCTGTACTGGCGACCCCGCTCCCAAAAATAACAATTGTAAACCGCTTTGAGACTCCGATGTGCAGTGAAAAGGCGGTATATATAAATAAAGATTACTACTACTTACTACTACTTACTAGAGAAAGAGACCAAAGAGAGAGACCACAGAAAGAGAGACCACAGAGAGAGAGACCAGAGAGAGATCAGAGAGAGAAAGACTAGAGAGAGAGCCAGAAAGAGAGATCAGAGAGAGACCAGAGTGGGACAAGCGCAAGCCAAGTTTGTCGCTCTAAAGGGGTGCCCACACTTTATCAAACCAAGATCTACTTTTTCACCACCCATTGAACCTTGTTCTACCTCAGATTTATGTGGGTGTTACGATATCAGAATCTCACATTTGGTCTGATTCTTGATGTATTTGTGATTCATGATCCACTGATGTTGTCTTTTTGCAAAGTTTGTTGGAAGTAAAGAAATAAATGCTTAAAAGTGATTAGTTATCAGTATTGTAGATGGTACAAAGTATACATTCACCTGCCACAAAATGTACAGTATTGTGTAATGTTACTTAGTAAATGTCACTTAGTGCTCATATTATTTGTCAGAACCTAGTTTACTTTGACCGTAAACACGCTCATGAGCACTTTCTTTTCTTTGTTTCGAGGATGCCCCATCATGACACGTATGAACTCAGATACGTTATGCGAGCTACCCCCCCACCTTTGCGACCGACCCGTAGATCGCAATCGACACATTGAACACCCCTGTTCTGAGGTGTGCATTTATAGAAACCCGATGGATTTCAAAAGAAATAAAGTGCATGATGACAAGGACAATGAAATCCTCACAGAAACCTACTTTGTGAAAGCGGGAGTTCTGTGTCTCTGAGGACAAGAATATCTCTTGTCTGTGTCTCTATAATCTATCATTCAGATGCAATCGTTCTTACGATGTCCTCTGTTAGTGAGGTCCATGTTTTGTGTTTTGTTCTCTTACTTTCCGCTTTGTCTTTGTGGTATATTTGTTTTTAGAGTGCATTTGTGTCCGGAGCCGGGTTTCTCCCTCCCCACTTCCTGTGTTTGGAGGAAGGGCCCTCTTTTGTCCCGAAGGCTGTATCTGCATCCTGATCAGGCCCGCGCTCTTGTCAATGGGTGGATTGTTTCAACTTAAGCATTGACCAAGCGAGAGCCCACGGTGTCGCCCGTAAACGTGCTGCTTCTTTATGAGTAAAGTAAAGTAGTATTTTTTTCAGTTCGATAAAATCAATGCTTCTGCTGAACACGCTGAGCTCAATATTAGAAGTTGAGACAGGAAGCACTGCCCTGTTGAAGTAGTGGATAATAGTAGCTGTAGTAGTAGTTATTTCTTTGGTCCTCATGAATATTTAGATTTTAGGTCACGTGTTTTTCAAAGATCTTATACATTTTACAATAAGATACAAAAACAAATATGCATATTAAGAATTTTAGAGGGTTTAGACTGAAGTCAACATATATTTTTCCTATCCTCTTTTACATCTGTGACACTAAGTCCAAACATGATAAGATAAGATACACTTGATTGATCTCACAATGGAGAAATGTACATTTGGCATAAATAGATTCACTCAAGGTGTGCTGTGCAAACATCAAGTCTCTTTTGTGCAAGATATTATATATAACATAATTATGACTATATTTGATTTTTTTGACTATATATAATCTACAGATTCATATATACTATAATAAAGTAGAGTAGAGAATAAATTAATAAATCAAGCCTTTATTACAGACTCAGGGTCCAACATAGACACCAAAAAGGCAGTTAATCTGACTCATATTTACTCTAACAACAATATAGTACAACACTTAAACTTCAACAATCAAAATGATGTTATGCATAATCAGATAATCTTTTATAATGTTCTCCATTGAAGACTAGTGATCACTTGTGAAAGATAATGGGGATTCTAATAGATAAACAAATAAATTCTGAGCTAGCACAGATTACACAAACACAAAAAGATTTTAAGATTAAAATGAAGGGTTTATTCGTCCCACAGTGGGAAACTTCAGTGTAGCATCACCATTTACAGAACAGTGGGAATGAAGAGCACACAGCACAAATTAAGTGAACAATAACTAGCAAGAAGTAAGTATAAAATTACTTCTTGTAACAGTGTGTGATACAGGTTTCCCTCTCATTCTCTGCTGTTATTATTTTTGTGATGAAAAAAAGTCCTCCACAACATATCAATATCCCAATGCCCTCCCCTACTCTATATGTTTGGTCCAGAAGCAAATAAAACTCTAAATACACAACGCTATGGATTATTTCAAAAGCTGGTGCATTTGTCACTTTACATTGAGCTTGATTTGAGGCTTGCTTTTTAATCAGATGTTTGTTTACGATAAAAGTTGATGAGTCCAAGTTGTCTCCTTGAACTCCTCTCCCTGTGCTCGTGACCCACTTTCAGTCTCAGCTGGAGTCGTTACTTTTGTACAGATGAGAAAGAGCGCCTCAGTTCTTCCTTTGGGGAGACGGAGGTTCTAAAATGTGAGAAGAAAACAACATGAGTTCACTGTCCATAAGGCGTTTGGCTGTTTTAAAATTAACAATTCTACCTGTTTTGATCAATTAGAGTACTGGAGAATATGCAGCTGCAGTATTTTCAAAACGCTGCAGCGCCAGTCCTGACGAGGACCAGGAAGTACTTTCACATTAATCCTAGTCTCAGGTGTCTGTCCTGAAGTCCTCTCACATTAGTCCTGGTCTCAGGTGTCTACACTTGCTTCTTGTGGCTCAGAGAAAATAATTTTCCTGACTTTAGTTACTAGTTTGATGAGTTGAGAGTGGACTCGGACCAGCCTCAATCCTGGATCTACAGCGTCACTCCTGGATCTACAGCCTCAGTCCTGGATCTACCCTATTATGGTATAATTTAATCTAATCTAAACCACCCACAGGAGGATCAGTGAGGGGCTGGTGCTTTGTGAATTTGGTGCAGCTCTGACTGCCACCCCCTGATCCAGAAATGGACTAAGGGGATGAAGATGGATGGATGGATGAATCTAATCTAAAATGTGCTTCTGCTGCAGGTTGAGTTCCGGGGCCAGTCCGTCTGCGGCGGCAAGACACAGAGGGAGCGATGCCACCGCGACCGTCCTCAGGAGAGCTATGGGGGATCCACCTCATGCCCCCGAGGTACCACTCTTCTTACGGGGAGGTTACGCAGTAGGCATTCACAGCATGTAAGCGTTGACTACGCACATACATGCGTAACATTACGTTACTGTGTAAACACCGGCAGAGCGCGCAGGTACGAGTCTGCTGTGGCTGCCCCTGTGTCATGGAACACTGGGGCAGCCACAGAACTGATGTAGAGCAAAAAAATCACATGTGTTTGTCCTCATGGTCTCTGTGCGCTGGTTTGGCCAGATGCGAGACAATATGAAAGAAAAAAAAAATGTCCAGAATCACTGTCAAACCTACCAGACTTCCTCCTTATGTTTAGATACAAATGCTGTGTGTGTGTGGAGGTGATTTAGAGCCACGGACCAAAAGCAAAATCATGTTTCCCTGTGTTTTGACTGGAGACGTGTCACTGCGCAAGTAAAATTAGAAACCCATTCTAATTTAGGCGCAGCCTCGCGTCAATACGTCCGTCATACGCGCATATAACACTAGTAGTGTAAATATCACCATAAGTTTAATTTGCAGTTGCAAATCCAGGAGGGAAAGCAAAGACAGTACACAGTGCAAGGATTAGCGTTTTTGCCTCACAGCAAGAAGGTCTTGGGTTTGATTCCACCTCCAGAACTTTTTGTGCAAAGTTTCCTGCCGCTGCCACTAAAAACATGTTCACTAGGTCTGAATGTGATGAGAGAGTGATTGTGATGGTCCAGGAGGACTCTTTCATCACTGTGTGGAGAGAATGGAAATTGCCAAAACACCAAATCCCTGCTAAAAAGTGTTGTGTTCTTGGTCTGTGAAATGCATGATACAGTGGACAAAAAAGTATTTCGTCACCTCCAACAGTGCAAGTCCTCACTGTTCAAAAGATGAGAGGTGTCTGTAATATTAGTCACAGTTAAACCTCAACTATGAGACAAAATGAGAAACAACAATCCAGAAAATCACATCTCCTCAGAGTCCCAGCAGGAGCCCAGTCCCTGTGCACCTCAGAGTCCCTGAAGGAGGCCAGTCCCTGTGCTGCTCAGAGTCCCAGTTTCTTCATATGGCACTAACATGTCTCAGATGTACTTTGTTGTGAGGCCATGGAGAAACATGAAGGATCCTGGTGGACTGTCTTCTCCCTCTGTGTTGTTAGGATCCTAAATGTGCACTTTATCAATCCCCGTAGGGCAATTCATCCTCTGCATTTGACCCATCCGGATGCAGATCCAGATCTTGATGGTCTGCTTGGTCAGGACTACCAGAGCTGGAGGATTTACCTAGTGTGCATGTTTTTAGTGGTAGGGGAAACCGGAGCACCCGGAGGAAACCTACGCAGGCATGGGGAGAACATGCAAACTCCACTCAGAAATACCCTGTTCCGACCGGGATTCGAACCCAGGACCTTCTTGCTGAGAAGCAAGAGTGCTGTCCACTCAGCCACCGTGCCACATGGTGGACTGTCTTCTCCCTCTGTGTTTTTAGGATCCTGGTGGACTGTCTTCTCCCCAACGGGATGATCCTGACGCTGGAGTGTCTCCGTGAAGCCACACTCATCACCATCAAGCATGAGCTCTTCAAAGAGGCTCGCAAATACCCGCTGCACCAACTGCTGCAGGAGGAGACCGGCTACATCTTTGTGAGCGTCACTCAGGTACCACAGCAGGGCACCACGAGATGCAAAGGGGCAGATGGGAAAGTTAAGCTGAGGAAATTTGGGAGTATTCAATTTTGGAAACTAACTGGGCATCAAGTTACATATAACAGTCATAAGAAAACATCCATACAAATGGTTTTCACCAAATTCATTTTTACATAGTTTTAAAGTTTTAATCATTTTATTGAACAAGTTCATGGAGTAGGGAGGCGGTGCGGGGTCTCAGTAGCAGTCTGCTATGTGCAAGTGTATTTGAATGACTTATTTGTTTTACTCAAGATTATGCTATAGTTTTACTATTTATACTTTCCTCAACTATATTTAATGAAGCAGTATGTAAAAATATGGCCAAAATTGGTACTGCACTGTCTCTGACTCAGGTTGCTAGATATGCAGATGAATCCAGCTGGGACCATAATATCTGAACAAATGTATAACCAACACCTTTTTCACAAAGATAGAAATCCTGGTTTCATTCCTTGTTTTGTTGTTAATGATTTGAGAATCATAACGAGACCTTTTTAGTTCTGCGGCCACATGTTATTTTACCAGTGAGATTAGCTCAACGTGGTGAGTAAATGGACTTTCTGATTGGTAAAACGGTGGAGGGCGGGACATCGAAATTAAAACAATAACAAGATTTAGGGCTGTAAAACTAATTTTGAATTCCTAATATCAGTTCAAAAAGTATTTGAAAAGAACATGTTTCGTTAATGCCTTTCGACAGATTAGGGCATTTTAATGATGACTTGACAGGAAAATCTTACATATTGCTACTTTAAGTTTCCTATGAAGTGCCAACATTCAAATTTGAAAATGTCTAGTTTATTCCCATGTATTCCTATTAATTCTGGTTAATTCCCATAAATTGTGTGATGAAAGGCCTTAGCCCGAACGTCACTATTGTGGTCTGTAGATAAAAGACACTTGGGAGCTACTGTACATGGATGTGCCGATTTTCTTTACTTTACATATCGTGCACCTTTTTTTAATCTAGCACGCTAATTCAGGCTACTGGGATGTACGGCCTCATTTGAAACCTAATTCCCATAAATTCCCATATAAAGTTTCCATCTTTGAAAATGTCCCGGAATTTTGCTACCCCAGTCATCACCGGTTCAGAACCCAGAACACTGGTCTGTGAGGGACATGTGTCTGCTGCAGGAGGCAGAGCGTGAGGAGTTCTACGATGAAACTCGGAGGCTGTGTGATTTGCGGCTTTTCCAGCCTTTTCTCAAAGTCATTGAACCTGTGGGCAACAGGGAAGAGAAGATCCTCAACAGGGAAATCGGTAAGAGCTGGGTGGTTTTAGAGCTTTGGTCGTGGAACATCTTATACCATGTTTAACATAGTCCTATGGGGCGTTTCCCACGCAGTTTCCACGCGCAGTCTCTAAATTTCAGACGCTAGGGGTGTTCAGACCAGAAGTCCTGGGCTGCGGTGGCGCCCGGCGGAAGTGGCAAAAGTACTTACAAACGCGCCTCACCATTGACTTAGTATTGAAAGTTGCCGCAACACATGATCTGGTCAACTATATTCAATTCCATTTATTTTTGTATAGCCCTAATCACAACAGTAGTTATCGGAGGACTTAACAAAGCTGTCGATTCGCCAATACAGATCAGAGAATCAAACAGTTCAAACACAAGAAATGCAATGATAAAAAGCTCGGAGAGCCATTATATGTTGATAAAATCCACAAATGTTGTTGAATGTCAAATGTCCTAAATCACCACTACTATCCTTAGACCCTCCTGCATTAGAGAGGAACAACTCTGAAAATCCAGTGGGAAAAAGTGAGAAACCTCTGGATGTGAGATTTACAGCCTCAGTCCTGGATCTACAGCCTCAGTGCCGGATCTACAGCCATAGACTTCATCTTCAGCATGCAGCACTTCATTGAGCTAGCATGTTAGCATGGTCCATCTGTATCCAGTCTCTGCTGCTTCCTCAGGGTTCGCCATCGGGATGCCTGTGATAGAGTTTGAGCTGGTGAAGGACCCGGAGGTGCAAGATTTCAGGAGGAACATCTTGAACGTGTGTAAAGACTCGGTGGAGCTGAGAGACGCCAGCGGCCCTCACAGCCGAGCGCTCTACGTCTACCCCCCCAACGTAGAGTCATCGCAGGAGCTGCCCAAACACATCCACAGCAAACTAGACAAAGGTGAGACTGGTCTGGGTTCACTTTCACTGGACCAAGACCAAAATAGTTCATTATGTCTCTATGTTTAAGGCTGAGAAGGTAAATATTAAAAGTTAAGAGAAACCAGAGAGAGACCAGAGAGAGAGAGACCAGAGAGAGAGAGACCAGAGAGAGACCAGAGAGAGAGAGACCAAAAAACAGTTTCTTCAAGTATGTCTGACCTCTGCCACATCTTCAGATCAGCTTGTTCAGATAGAAAAATTAAAAAGAGAGGACCACCCTCACTCAGCCAATCAGCCCAAAGTGTCAAATAGTGACTCAAAGGGTTCGTAATACACATGTGAATCAATGGAGTCAACTCAAATGTGTTTCTGTGGATATTTTTCACCATTGGTACAGAAGTGGGCTCTGTCAGTGTGAAGTCGCCCTCTGTGTTTCATTTCAGCTGCATGAAGCCACTCGATGCTAGGTGCTACAGCTGCTAATGTGAAGCCAAGTTCCAAATCAGGGTATTTCTGATCCTCACAGCGACAATCAGAGCCCCTTCATCCACTCGCAACACTTAGCAACTCTCCAACTGTCAATCCAACCTGTTTCTAAGGCCAGTTCCCTTCCCGGAATATGAGCAGTGGGCGATAGATTCTTACACACAATCAGAAAATCACTTATGTGCTAATGTACCGCTGTAAATACCGTGGTGTCAGGAACCAGGGCCGGCAGGGAGACCAGGAATAACTCATTCTAGACCTAAAAATTGTTGTATTAGGTTTCAAATATTATATACTCCAGATATGGATTTGTCTATGAATGGTTTTGTATGTATATAATAATAATAATAGTTGTATATACTATACTTCACAGAAACAATCACCAAAATAAATATGTTCTTTAAGTAAAGCATGAACAAAATCAACATTTCAGAGAGAGACCTGGGAGGGGGGACCAGAGGGAGACCTGAAAGAGAGACTAGAAAGAGACCAGAGAGAAACTCGAGAGAGAACATAGAGAGAGAACAGAGAGACCAGAGAGATAATGTTCTACCAACAGAGGTGAAACTTCATTGGTGTGGCACAAACATAGATCTGGCTTTTATGAAAAAAATAAGCCTTTAATGTTTTTCTAATAGCACTTATTTGTTTTTGCATATTAATCTTTCATACTGTGTGAATAAACGTATTTACATACATCTTCAAAGTAATAATTTCTTTGTTTACGCAGCCCTTTATATAGCTATAAATCCAGTGTTTTGCTGTTTCTTTCCTTCTCCGTGTTCCAACTCGCACATTTAATCATTTCTCATGAATGAATATTTTACAAACCCAGAGAAGTGAAGTAGAACTCTGCAGTAATGACCAGTGTGTGTTTTCTCGCTTCACTGCCCTCAGCGTCTGCAGCAAGAGGATTTCTTAATGCCTTCTATTGTACAATCTCAGCAGTAACAACAACAGCTTATCCACGCTGAAAGATGAACACGCAAGCATTAGCCTAGCGTTGATGGCACAGGGGCGAGCTCTGTGAAGGATAATGCATCGGAGAATCCATTTATTGATGAGTGTTGTTCAAGTGTGTGACGCTTTGGTCCTGAAACAAACAGAGACGAGCATTAACCCTGAACTACACTGACAGGTCACGGTTTTACACGTTGTTCATTGAAAACTCTAATATTGATCCAGATGCTTAATAATAAACACAGGACTCAGATATACACTGCATCTCTACATACACACTGTAATGGACTAATGGACTATTGGATGGACTTCCTGTCTGATGATGTCACTTCCTTTGAGGGAGAATTTAAATGTTTGTGAACTGGTGTGGTTTAAGGAAACAGACCTGACATTAGCTCCTAAACCGGGATAGAAAAGGGGATAGAAATTCATTCATCCTTTCATTCATTTTCAACCCCTTTATTAGTCCATTTCTGGGTCGGGGGGTGACAATGAGAGCTGCCACCCAATGCTCATAGCACCAGTCCCTCGCTGATCCTCTGCAGGTGGTGAGTCCACAGGAAGATGGCTGCTACATCAGTGGTGAAACAGCCTTGGTCTTTCAGCGGGGGCTTCAGGCAACGTGGGGGTTAATTGTCTTGCCCAAGGACATAACGACAGTAGACATTTGTGGGAGCAGTTGGAGTAGGTCCCGTGGTGGGCTCGAACCCACGACCTCCAGTCTCAAAGGCCAATGCTCTACCAACTGAGTTACTGTCGCCCCGGGGATAGAAATATTGTCTAATTTACTGTTATGTTTTGGCTGATCCAGCAGATTTCTTTTGCTAAGCAGGACAGGCCCTGGGATGCCCTGTGATGGGAGACCTCTGTAGCTGAGCTGGACAGGGCCTGGTTAGTGCTGTGGTTGTGTCCTTAGGCAAGACACTTCCCCCACATTTGTCTGGTGTGTCTGTGAATGGTTGGTGGTGGTGAGAGGGGCCGATGGCACAGACTGGTTGCCTTGCTTCTGTTAGAGTGCCCCTAGACAGCTGTGGTAGTCGATTATCACCTCTATGTTTGGAGTGAAAGAACAATAATGATACATGAAACATGAAACCCATTATTATTTTATTGTTTGAAGGATGATGTTATGATTATAGCTCTTGCGGTGGAAACCTGTTTGTGGACAATAAAGATAAGAACTTTCCGATGGCTACACTCACGCATCCAGAAATGTGTTTGTTTTGGCCATAGTTTAGAATGATAGCACTTAAACACTTCTTTCACTTGTTACTGACTGTAAAAACACACCTACACAGACACACAAGCACACAGACAGATACACACACACACACGCACGCACGCACGCACGCGCACACACACACCACACACACTGACACTGTTTAAATCTCATATACTGTATATAAGCTGATTTCTTTGCTTTCTGTGTTGTAGGTCAGATCATTGTTGTTATTTGGGTGATTGTTTCTCCAAACAATGACAAACAGAAGTACACGCTGAAGATCAACCATGACTGTGTCCCAGAGCAGGTGAAACATATGTGGTTTTAGTGTCTGTTCAATGTGGGCCTTCAGCATACTTCGACCATTTACTTTCTTGTGTTAGAATATGAACACATTTATGGTAGCGGAAACCATATGGATATACATGATCAAGGTGAGCAAAACACTCTCATACTATGATAGAATTGGGTAATTACATTCTGAATATGGTTTAATAGCTAACATTGTGTCCCAGGTACATGTTTTCTTTGTAATTTACACATGCAAAGTTATTTTTAGAGTAATTCATAATCTCTTAGATAGATAGCCTTGCACCAAAGTACGTCCATGACATGTTAGATCCATATGAACCAACTGCTGGTGCCCATAGTCAAAACTAAACATGAGGAGCTTGCGTTTTAAAGTTATGCACTGCAGAGAGATAGACCAGAGAGAGACCATAGAGAGACCAGAGAGAGAGACACCAGAGAGAGACCAGAGAGAGACACCATAGAGAGACCAGAGAGAGATTAAAGAGACCAGCGAGAGACCAGAGAGAGACCGCCATACAGAGGCCCTGTTTAAAACGTTAGAGTTGGGTATCAGTCTGGCTTCCTGTTTACTCGACGAGACGGTGTTTCAGGGAGGTGAAAACGCAAGTGTTGAGAAACAGCCTCCAGAGCAGCTGCTGTTAAATGCGTATTTAGGAAGTGGTTCACTGCTGGGAGTCACGTGTTGTGATGTACAGTTCCACTGCCTACCAATGGCCGGGCGTTAGATCTACATAGTTTTCAGTAGTCAACTAAACGCTCTGCAGGAGCCTGGTCGTTTTTGCTAATTGCTTTGCAGCAACTCCGCAGCGTCTCCGTCTAATCAGGGCCAGAGATAACAGCTCTGTCAGACATACAGGGTATAAACCTTTTAAACATTTAAAAACAAACATCAGAATCTTAAAGTCAACCCTGAATGTGACAGGAGCCAGTGAAGTGAAGCCAGCATAGGGGTAATGTGCTCTTTCCTACGTGCCCCTGCTTAGGTCCAAGCCATAGTACAGCAATAATCTAACTTTGAATAAACAAGGGTGTATAATTTGATTGGTGACTGAGGTTTCACGACTACCGTTGTCTCCAGGTGATTGCCGAAGCCATCCGTAAGAAAACCCGTAGCATGTTGCTGTCTCCGGAGCAGCTGAAGATGTGTGTGCAGGAGTATCAGGGCAAGTACATCCTCAAAGTCTGCGGCTGCGACGAATACCTCCTGGAGAAGTTCCCCATCAGCCAGTACAAGGTAGCATGAATGTTTTATACTCTGTAGAAGTCAGTAGTAAACACTGGTCATAGTGTTGCTCATGCATTATTATTCAAGTCTTCAATTATTAAGAAAGTGCAGAAAAGCAGATATTATTGTGAAGCGTACCGTGTTGTTTTGGTTTTGTCTTAATTCTACAACTTACAGCCTCAGTCCTGGATCTACAGCCTCAGTTCTGGATCTGTAGCTGCTGTCCTGGATCTACAGCCTCAGTCCTGGATCTACAGCCTCAGTCCTGGATCTACAGCCTCAGTCCTGGATCTACAGCCTCAGTCCTGGATCTACAGCCTCAGTCCTGGATCTACAGCCTCAGTCCTGGATCTACAGCCTCAGTCCTGGATCTACAGCCTCAGTCCTGGATCTACAGCCTCAGTCCTGGATCTACAGTCTCAGTCCCTGTATCTGACCTGGCTTGTCCTCCTCAGTACATCCGCAGCTGCATCATGTTGGGGCGGATGCCAAACTTAATGTTGATGGCAAAGGACAGTCTCTACACACAGCTGCCGACCGACACCTTCGTTATGCCCTCGTACTCGCGCCGCATCTCCACCGCCACGTCCTACATGAACGGAGAGGCCACCTCCAAGTCCTTGTGGACCATCAATGGGACCCTGCGCATCCGCGTGCTCTGTGCCACCTACGTCAACGTCAACATCCGCGACATCGACAAGGTGAGACTGTGCAGCTCAGACAGGCAGCGCTTTGGTCTCTCTTTCTGGTATCTCTCTGATCTCCTTTTTGGTCTTTCGCTGTTCTCACTGATCTCTCTCTCCCTGGTCTCTCTGGTCTCTTTCTGGCCTCTCTCTCTGGTCTCTCTACACACTTACATACACACATAATTACTAATTTTTACATTTTACACTTTGAAAAAATGCATTTTTTAATAAAAGAAAATAATGAATGACATCTCACATTACAGAATAATGCATTGGTTTTATATAGTGCTTTTTTGGACACTCAAAGACGCTTTACACGTCATTATTCATTCACTCCATACACGGTGGTGATAAACTACTACTGTAGCCACAGCTGCCCTGGGGCACACTGACAGAAGCGAGGCAACCAGTATGTGCCATCGGCCCCTCCGACCACCACCAACCATTCACACACACACTAGACTCATTCTAGGCAATGGGAGTAAAGTGTCTTGCCTAAGGACACAACGGCAGTTTGGCATTTTACAGCCGCAGCCGCCCCACATACACAAACATATACAGTACAGACCAAAAGTTTGGACACGCATCTTCTCATTCAAAGACTTTTTTCACTTTCATGACTATGAAAATTGTAGTTTCACACTGAAGGCATCAAAACTATGAAATAACTCATGTGGAATTATATACGTTCTAAAAAAGATAGTATGAAACAACTGAAAATTCGAAGTAGCACCTTTTGCTCTGATTACTGCTTCGCACACTCTTGGCATTCTCTGGATGAGCTTCAAGAGGTAGAGACCTGAAATGGTCTTCCAAGGGTCTTGAAGGAGTTCCCAGAAATGCTTAGCACCCTTTCGCCTTCACTCTGTGGTCCAGCTCACCCCAAAAACATCTGGATTGGGTTCAGGTTCAGGTTGGGTTCAAGAAAGGAAACTCATTGAATGAGAAAGTGTGTCTAAACTTTTGATCTGTACTGTACATTTCTTGTTGTCATGACTGTGTTTCCATGTGCCTGGAGTCCCCACACTCTCACATCACACTCTCACATCCTGTGGAAACAACGCCTCATTGTCCCTTTGCCAATGATTCAGGACAAACATGTTTTCTGTCTTCTGTCGCCTGCAGCCTGTTGTTGTGTTGGAACTCACATGGTCCTGTGCCATAAATCAACAGAAACATAGGGATTGTCTTAAATGTGCTATATACAGTATTTGCTTGTGAATATAATTATTTCAGAAAGAGAGAGAGAGAGAGCCACAACCAGCTACACTTCACCTAACATACTGGAAACCCAATCTGCTCGATATCTGTAAACATAGATATTATGGACATTGTGTTCATTGTATTTTTTATCAAGAATACCTCCACTCAAAAATATCAGGTATGATGTGTGACCTGTTATAGAGACACATGTCATGTGACTGTTATAGAGACACATATATGTGTCATGTGACTGTTATAGAGACACATATATGTGTCATGTGACTGTTATAGAGACACATATATGTGTCATGTGACTGTTATAGAGACACATATATGTCTTGTGACTGTTATAGAGACACATATTTGTGTCATGTGACTAGGGGTGCAACGGTTTGAAAAAATCACGGTTCGGTTCGTACCTCGGTTCAGAGGCCACGGTTCGGTTCATTTTTCGGTTCATTTTTCAAAAAAAAAGTGTTGTCTTTTTAATAAACACAGCTCATGTGGACTCGGCACCTGCTCTGACTGCCCCCCCTGACCTAGAAATGAATTAAGGGGAAGGAAATGGATGGATGGATGGATGGATGGAATATTCCATCCATCCAATTATGTCTATTTAACATAATTAATGAAAAACAACACAAAGTGCAACATAAGGCACTTTATGAGGATATTTACTCTCATATATTACACCACCTTCCTGATTCTCCCGAGGAGGCGCTCCATTCTGGGCCCAGCCTTATTCACTGCATTTATTTAATTTTTGGCATTATCAGTTGTGACTGGGATATTAGTACTGGGCCTTTGTCTTCCATTCCTCCGCTGCTTGTGTCAGTACCTGCGCTGGGTGACTGTGTGACTGTCGTAGAGGGGGCGTGTCTGCAGCGCCAGACTTTTCATCTCCCAGTCTGCGGTGATGAAGTGAGCGGTTCCGCTCATGGATCTATTATAGGTTCCGCGGGACGTCCGAGCGTCAGTCGTGAGCGCAGCTGAGGATGCGCGGGAGAGTTGACTTTAGCCCGGTCTGACTGTGCGTATAGGAGCTGCTTAAATGCCGCAACAATAAGCGGTCGTTGAGACGCTTTTTTCACTCATGTCTTTCTTGTGCCACAGTGCTTACACATCGTGACAGTTTTGTCGAATATTAATTATCAGTGTAGTTACAGTGAAGCCAAAATGCTCTCATACTGGGGATTTAAATGACGCGTGGCTTTCAAGCATCTCCGTTCCTCCGCTCGCAATGACCACGCTGTGTGTGGACTGAACAACGTGCGCACAACTTTTTTTTCATAAATCAAACCGCGGATCACGTCTGTACCGAACCGAAGACGTTGAACCGAACGGATCACGGATCAGTGATGAACCGTTGCACCTCTACATGTGACTGTTATAGAGACACATATATGTGTGTCCTTTTGTACAGCACTGTATAAGTACGATGTAGTAGTATTATTAATGTTTTTTAAGTTGGGTTTTATCATGATGTTGTCACATGTTACAGTTTATATCTGTGTTCATAGATTTATGTGAGAACTGGTATCTATCACGGCGGAGAGCAGATGTGTGACAACGTCAACACCCAGAGAGTCCCCTGTTCGAACCCCAGGTACATTCTCTTTTTTCCAATCTAGGTATTTCTCTGTTTATCCAACCGTTTCACCCGGCCGTATTCCTATTTGCAACATAGACAGGGCTTGAGTACCCCCTTTTTCCTGGGTTTAATTCCACCTCCAGACAGGGACTTTCTGTGTCTGTTTCCTGGAGGTGCTCCGGTTTCCTCCAGGTGCTTCGGTTTCCCCTACAACCAAAAACATGTACAATAGTTCAGGGTGAATTGGGGTACTAAAAATGGAAATTGATTTTTGTAGCCTGCTACCTAACTTCTATCTGTTAGCAGCATTTGTTTATCCTCATTATTCCACTTTCACTCTATTTAACTGCGACTGTCCTGAGGCAGAGCTAATTCTCTCTAAACTTCAGACTGAAGGCTAAGTTCACAGTTTAGCACGGACTGGAAACATTAACCGTGCATATTGTGTTTCCGCTTGTACATGTCACAGGAGACGACCTCAGTCACTGACGGCCTTTGTCCAAGCTGTTAAAGACACTGGTGCAGCTCTTAAGAAGCCTTTAGTGTTCAGTTGTCTTTTTTCTCCATTTTGAGGATTTAAAACACTGGTTGGCAAGTTTAATTGTATAGCACAGTTACACATACACAAGGCAATCTCAATCAATCACACGAGGTATTACAATAAAATAAATAATAAATAATCACAAGAAAACATTAAAAAGAGTGAAGATACAAGATTCAGACTCCGTTGTTGCAGAAACAAATGCAGCTGAAGCGGAGGTTCAGGATGGTAGACTACCTACGTTATCACACCAGGCTTGACCACGCCTTACTCAGCCTGTCTTAATCAACTCCCTGCAGCCGTGTCAATCAAGCCAGCGTTTAAGAGCAAAGCCACAGCCACAGCCGGGGCCTAAGCTCCAAACCAATAAACAAACTCAATCCATAAAATAAACAACTCTTAAACGCATCTCGTCTCTTGTAGTCTCTCCAGGTTGAACTGTTTTTAACCTGGATTTGAACATTGTCAGATAAGAAGCCTGTCTCACATTTTCAGAGAAGAAGCCTGTCTCACATTTTCAGAGAGACTGTTCCAGATTTTAGCTGCATGAATCTAAAACGCTGCCTCCTCATGTTTAGTCCTGACTCTGGGGCCAGCAGGAGGCCAGTTGCTGTGCTCCTCAGAGTCCCAGCATGTGACTAGACCCTGTGCTCCTCAGAGTTGATGAGTGTCTCTCTGCAGGTGGAATGAGTGGCTGACCTACGACATGTACATCCCGGACGTCCCCCGAGCCGCTCGCCTCTGCCTCTCCATCTGTTCTGTTAAAGGCAGGAAAGGAGCCAAGGAGGTAACACACACATACACACAGGAACAACACTCAGTGATCAAATCTTCATATATCTGTGATCTTCACAAATGTTTTTCTGTTTTTCTGTTTCTATAAGTAGCTCATTTCGTTGTAATTATTTTAAAATTAAATAACATTATGTTAGGATTTCTATCTTTAACTCCCAGAGCTGTCCATTCATTACAATGTAATAATAAAGAGGAGCCATTTTTGGTCACTGGGCAAACAACATTCTTTTGCACTTTATACCTCTTTTCTCCAAGGTCCTCGTCCTGGCGGTTGGCAAGATTTAAACCTCTCACTTCTTTTTCTTGTTGTCAACATAAAATCCTGATCATTAAGTTGTTAATTTCCTGTTTTAGTTTCTGCTGTGCTCCAAACATCAGCCTCTCCCAAGGGCACACTATCTAAATACTGAATGTGCACACGCGTGTTGTTGGCCATGATCCGACCGCTGCTGTCTTAAGTGTCTCTGGTGAATAATGAGAGCCTTCGTATCGTCTTTGTCTCTGTTTAATTACTAAACAGTGTTGGTGGCAAAAAACATCAGCTGAAATATAATTACCATCTCAGCCTGGGCCTTTGTGCTTCACTGCTGGAAGAGGTCGCAAAACATGAAGTGAATGCGGTATTTTCCGGTAGTAAACCATTTAATCTGTTTATTATTATTATTCCAGTTGTAGAAAGAGAATGGATGAACAGAGACTGACAAAGAGAGTGATGAATAGTTGCTTGAGTGGTAGTAGATCGAGAGGTGGGCCAAGGGCCGGATGGAATGATGGTGTGAAGAGAATGTGGAATTTGTTTTGTACGCTCTGAATGATGGATTCAAGCGGTCAAAATTAGAGCTAGAGTATTCTTCCACCAACTGCGTAACTACAGAGGAGCCCTGAGATAAGACTGTAGATCCTTGACTGAGGCTGTAGAACTACAGGTAGGACTGAGGCTGTAGATCCAGGACTGAGGCTGTAGATCCAGAACTGAGGCTGTAGAACCAGGTCTGCAAACTAGCTGTTAGCTATACGGCCTATGAACACAGCATCGGTTCCTGTAACAATGCTTCTTGTTCTGTCCCTATCAAATAAACACAAAATAATAATAATAACCAGGACTGAGGCTGTAGATCCAGGATTGATGCTTTAGACACAAGAGTGAGGCTCTATAGATCCAGGACTCAGGCTGTAAATCCAGGACTGAGGCTGTAGACCCAGTACTGAGGCTGTAGACCCAGGACTCAGGCTGTAGATCCAGGACTCAGGCTGTAGATCCAGGACTCAGGCTGTAGATCCAGTAGTCAAGGTCCTCTTGTTTGCCACCACTGCTCTAGTACTGTATAGATGTATTTTTTTTTTAACCTTTATTTAACCAGCAAAATCCAATTGATATTCCATAAATTCCAGATAATAATGCATCTCTGGTGTCATAAATCATCATTACATACAATTTCCTTTAAACATCTTTACATCCAGCTTTTCCTGCTCTGTCTTTTATAACAAGCACTTCCTCTCTCACTGTTGTCTCCGGAGCTCACCGCACTAATCTATTCTGTGGAGGCGCATTTATGTGATGCCTGTCTGCGGGGATCCATAAAAAGCGTTGGACTGTGGGTTGTTTGGCTCCGTCTGACCCTTGTAACCAACACCCACGGGGATTGGTTCTGTCTGCGGCTGAGGTGTGCGTGGGCTGACTGTATCAATGAAAGTTGGACATGGATATGGTAAAAGAATCCGGTCTGACTCAGGACAGTCCCCCGCGGTGAGGTGCCAGGGCCGGCTCAGGTGAGGGATGCTCTTTCAGCCTGCGTCTGAATTAAAGATTAAGATAATAGATACACTCTTTGTTGCTCCACTGACTATAAATAGAACATTTTGACTGGCTGTCGGCTCGGAACGCTGCCTCTTCACACCCTGGATCTGTCACACTGCGCTCAGACCCAGACTCTGGTAACAGTAGTCCCTCTGATGGTTCACTTTAGTTTTATGGCTCAACAATACAACTATTACTGTGACTGCGTTACTGTGGTTGAACTAATCAATTAACTGACTTTAATTTAAGCTGGTTATGTATCAGACTTTGCTAATACATAACCAGAAAGAGAGAGACCAGAGAGATATCAGAGAGAGACCAGAGAGAGAGACCAGAGAGAGAGACCAGAGAGAGAGACACCAGAGGGAGAGAGACCAGAGAGAGAGACCAGAGAGAGAGAGACCAGAGAGAGAGAGACCAGAGAGAGAGAGACCAGAGAGAGAGAGACCAGAGAGAGAGACACCAGAGAGAGAGACACCAGAGAGAGAGACCAGAGAGAGAGAGACCAGAGAGAGAGAGACCAGAGAGAGAGAGACCAGAGAGAGAGAGACCAGAGAGAGAGACCAGAGAGACATCAGAGTGAGACCTAGAAAGAAATGGGATGACCACTGTCCAGAAATGTTAATAAATGTCCGGGATCATCTGTCCTTAGATCTTTCTGTATCAGCAAAATTAGAAAACTCCATTATTTGATGCTTTGTGCTCAGAGCTGAAGGCTGTGACTGAGACCAACACTGAAAACTAGTGATAGTTTTGAGAGCTATGAACTAGTTGAACTCATTATTTTTTTTGTGGCTTGTGGCTGGAAGACAGGAACGACTAAGCTCACAGCGCTCAAAGTCCTCCCACTGCTGCTTCGGCAACAGCATCTGTCAATCACACTCAGCTGCAGCGCCACACTGCCCTCACCTGGCAGCATCAGGCACTGCCCCACATCAAGCTTCAAATCGCGGGGAAGCTCCATCCAAGCAACAGCAACTCTCTTCCTCCCAATCGAAGCCACTGGGCCTGCTCTTTTATCCTTCTCCCAGCTACCACCACCAGGGTCTTGCCCCTGGAGGATTTCATCTCAAAATTTCTTTCTCCTTCTGCCATCGTGTAGTGCTCTGCCGGGGTCTAAGCACCAAATCCTAGCCACATTTCTGTACACCAGCAATAAACATAATCTCGGGACTATGGATGTAAATTAGCAGTTTTGCTACAATCTGGCACATTTACAATTTGTGTACAACTTGTATATGATTGTTCATTAATGTGTGTTGTCCCGATCAAATAGATAAATAACTATTGTCCTCAGAGTCATATGTGTAATTTATGTAGTGTCAGATTACGTGCCAACCAATATACAATTCTATACCATGTTTTGTCTGTTCGAGTCTCTCCAGATTGAAATAATTTGTGTTGTGTTTCCAGGAGCACTGTCCTTTAGCCTGGGGGAATATCAACCTGTTTGACTACACTCACACTCTGGTGGCCAACAAGATGGCCCTGAACCTGTGGCCGGTCCCTCACGGCCTGGAAGACCTGCTCAACCCCATTGGAGTCACAGGCTCTAACCCCAACAAGGTGACCGGCTTTTCTACTTATTTATTCATGGTGCTTTATTTAAACAGTAAAGTCACGCTGCAAAATCTCTTGTTCATTCCTGGCCCCAGAGACAGGGATCGGGGAGGAGGCTTTCTTAAATCAATCTCAAAAGAAGGATTTTTCAAAATACAAAAAGTAGATGCAGTACTTTATCACAATGCCGAAATTTCGCAGGATTAAAACTAGTTTAAAGCTGCAAATATTTATGTTGAGAATTATACATGTTTTATAATTAGTGTGGTGCATAACTTGGTATTGAGTATCTTTTTATCAATATCAGAATTACTACTGGAAACAATTATTTGGGTCAGAAACAAAGTATAGCATGATGTTTGCAGGAGGGAATATGCATTGAGATTAGGAAAATTACCTTAAACGTTTTAAACTGTGGTGCTGATCCCCTGACATTGAGAGAATGTCGCCCTGTGATGGGGAGGAGGAGGGTTGTAGCTTGATGTGTAATCTTTTCCCATCTTGTGTTCTGAAGTTCTTCTTCTTTCTTGTATGAAATGTTCTATACAAATAAGCTTCCTTTCACAGAGCAAGAATGTAGAAAGCTGTGAGGCTGTTTAAACTAGCATTGTAGCTAGAATTAGCAAAATAAAATTGCTATGGACAGTAAATCTGAGATACTTTTGGGCTGCGAACCATTGTTGTTTGCTGCCCAGTCTCCACACTGGGCCTTAAACCAGGGTTTAGTGTTTTGCTGTTGCACTAGTCGCACAAATAATCCGGTCATGACATTGTTTCTCTTCCAAGGCAGACTGCATTCTAGTTTCTTGGACCAGTACCTGAGAGTAATCTATTCAAAAGAGCAGTTTTTAACCTAATTAGAAATTTATATAGGCTCCCATTGTTATTGCAGAGATTACAGTAGTTATGGACATGTACAAATCCACATCACCATCTCACTAGTTTCTACTGATTTTGTTGAATCTTCTGAAAGGAAACTCCCTGTTTGGAGATGGAGTTTGATCACTTCAGCAGTCAGGTGAAGTATCCAGACATGAACGCTGTGGAGGACCACGCCAACTGGACCATCTCCAGAGAGCTGGGCTTCAACTGCAACTTCTCTGGGCAGGTAACTGCCGCAGCATAAGGGCTGGATGTATTTATTTTACAATAAATTCCAGTTGTAAAAACAACTGGAATCTACAACAAAATGAGAATGGAGCCAATCTCTCTCAACTGCTGAGCAACTCTTTCTTTGTATTTAGTCCCTTTACTTTAGGATTCATGTTTTAAAACTATATAATGTCTCTGTGTGTAAGAATAATCTAGCACCAGCTCGAGTCAAATCCATGTTTTTCCTTAAAGACAATGTTGATTCATAATTTATAGATGATATGTCTAATTCTTAGGACGGATTCAAGACCGGATCATTAGTAAGTAGGAGCTAGTTGTATTAACTGCTCATATTACCTGGATGATGCTGAAAACAGTGTTGTAACATTGTGAAAAGCCAAAGTGGCCCCTCATAAAACCCCTGAATGTTGATATACACTGAGATTGTGGCTTAAAAGACGTTTCTTTGGCTTTCATCGTCATGACTTGTTACTATATATATAAAGATGACTACTTACTTATTCAAATATCTTCTTCATAGTATGTTGCGTCTCTCTCCAGGCCCTCATGCTGCTAACATGCACAGATGTATAAAGACAACTATATGTTACTAGCACTAGAAAGACAGCATTTTATTACTTGCTCCATCCATCCATCCATTTTCTTCCCCTTAATCCATTTCTGGGTTGGGGGGGTGGCAGTCAGAGCTAGGGGTGGGAACCTAAGGGTACCTCACGATACGATACAATACACGATACAAAGCTCACAATAACAATAATATCAAGATAACAATTTTATCACAATATGACGATTATCGATATATTGGTCCGAAATATACCATATGCCAATTTATGGCATAAATAAAAGAAAAATGTTAAGTGAAAAAATACACTTTATTTCATGATAAATGGAATGGAGATGCGTAATGTAGCCATATATTGATGCTAATTTTTTTTAAAATATATCGATACTTGGCAAATGCATATCAATAATCAAATCGCGGGAGAAAGTGTCGCGATATATCGATATCGCGATATATCATCAAACCCCTTGTCAGAGCTGCACCCAGTACACATAGCACCAGCCCCTCACCTGCAGGTGGTGAGTCCACAGAAGCTAAGATCTTTCAGCGGGGCTTCAGGCAAAGTGGGGTTAAGTGCCTTGCCCAAGGACACAATGACAGCAAAGATCAATGGGAGTCGTGAAGTAGGTTTTGTGGTGGGCTCGTACCCACAACCTTCAGGTTCAAAGGCCAATGCTCTACCAACTGAGCTACTGTCGCCCCCTTGCCCTACTTTCTCCTCATTATGCTAAAGTCAGGGGTTTTTGTGCTTTAGTCTTGCTTCTTCATCATGCTAAAGATTTACATACTGCTTCTTTTAATGCTAGAGTTAGAGATGTATCAGATGTTATTTTGTTATGTTAATATGTTGCACACTTGTTCCGGTCACATCGGGCTCAAAACCAGTGTTTTGATTTGAATTATATGTTTTGGCAGGTGTCAGACAGTGCTCTCCCCCCCTTGGTCCTACCTTCTCTTCTTGCATGAATCAAGCCATCTTACCTTCCTCTGATACATCCTGTTCTTTGTCTTTCCTATTCACAACTATATTAGTGAAGGTTGAATGTGAAGAGGCAGAGAGTGACAGAGCAAGATTTGGTATTGTTTATTTTTGTCAACTTTTTCAAATAAATTGCACAAAGACAAGCTGTTCTTCAGATCCATTTATTGAAGTCTTACATTCCCACTACAACCCAATTTCTCAGTGTCATTCAGCCAACTTCAGCTCAGTTTAATGTGTTATTGTAGAGTAACCGAGTGGCCCGGGACCACGCTCTTACAGAGAGCGACAGCGAACAGCTCCGACAGCTCAGCAACAGAGACCCACTGTCCGACATCACGGAGCAGGAGAAGGACTTCCTCTGGAGGCACAGGTGAGCTACGTGGAGCTCCTACCCTATCCCTGAGGGAGCAGCAGCTCTACTCTACGCCCTCACTGATGACTTCTGTTCAACATCATAAATAACAATAACAAAAGTATCGTTTTTCAGACATTACTGTATGAACATCCCTGAGATCCTCCCCAAGATCCTTCTGGCAGTGAAGTGGAACTCTAGAGACGAAGTGGCTCAGGTAAGAAGCAACACATCAGACAAAACAGTGGTCTGTTGTGGTCAGTTTCTTAGAGAGATCAGAGAGAAAGACCAGAGAGAGACCAGAGAAAAAGACCAGAGAGAGACCAAAGAGGGAGACCAGAGAGCGAGACCCAAAGAGGGAGACCAGAGAGAGACTAAAGAGAGAGAAGAGAGAGAGACCAGAGAGGGAGACCAGAGAGAGACAAGAAAGAGAGATCAGAGAGAGACTAGAGAGAAAGACCAGAGAGAGAGGCTGGAGAGAGAGAACAAAGAGGGAGACCAGAGAGAAAGACCAGAGAAAGAGACCAGCGAGAGAGATCAAATAGGGAGACCAGAGAGCGAGACCAAAGAGGAAGACTAGAGAGGGACCAGAGAGAGACCAGAGAGAAAGACCAGAGAGAGAGACCAGAGAGAAACCCCAGAGAGAGAGACCGGAGAGGGAGACCGGAGAGGGAGACCGGAGAGGGAGACCAGAGAGAGAGACCAGAGAGAGAGACCAGAGAGAGAGACCAGAGAGAGAGACCAGAGAGAGAGACCAGAGAGAGAGACCAGAGAGAGAGACCAGAGAGAGAGACCAGAGAGAGAGCCCAGAGAGAGAGACCAGAGAGAGACCAGTGAGATACCAGTGAGGGACCAGAAAGAGAGAAACCAGAGAGAGAGACCAGCTATTAGAGAGGATAAAGAACCATTCTTTTGAGAACTGGGGTTTGGAGACTTCAGGGTAAAGTATCTGTTGTCGTTATCATTTGTAAATATAAATCCAATTTGTTGCAATAAATGGCATCACACAACCAGTTATCAGCCATTGGCAACAACACAATTCTGGCCTCTGTATGTGTACCTTTTTTAAGCACAATTGTATTTGAATCTATCTCCCTCTTCCCCTGATGCTGCTTTAGATGTACTGCCTGCTGAAGGAGTGGCCGTCCATCCGCCCAGAGCAGGCCATGGAGCTGCTGGACTGTAATTACCCCGACCCCATGGTGCGCCACTTCGCCGTGCGCTGTCTGGACAAATACCTGACGGACGACAAGCTCTCCCAGTACCTGATCCAGCTCGTACAGGTCACTAAGATTAAGATTAAGAGTTCCTTTAGTGTTGCATCACCAGTTACACAACAGTAGGAATGAGGAGCACACAGCAAAAAATGATCAATAACTCTATACTAAAGTAACATAAAATAAAAACTCTAAAAGTATAAAACGCTGGAAAGGAAAGTCTCACATTTGGTTCTATATTGCACATTCTGACAGTCGTTAAAATGATTGCACTACACTAGACTCCTGATCCTCGTACAGGTCGCTACAAAGCCAGTCAGTATGCAGTCAAATCCATCAGCTTTGAAGGAGTGGGCAGTGGGGGTGAACAAGTTGTAGGACTATTTTGCTATGTACAACCATAGACTGTATGTGCTGTAGATGGACAATGCTAACCCGCTAGCTCAATGAAGTCCAAGAGGAAAGTGCTCATGGTGAAGTCTGGCTCCTTTTGACTCACATGTAAAAGTAAACTCCTCTAGATCAGTAACTGTTTGTGTTACACATTCTGGGCTTAAATCTGTGGTTTATCTTCCTCTTTCTTCTCAGGTCCTCAAGTATGAGCAATACCTCGACAATCCTCTGGCCCGGTTCCTCCTGAAAAAGGCTCTCACCAACCAACGGATCGGACACTTCTTTTTCTGGCATCTCAAGTGAGTTCCCATTTATTGATATTAATTTATAGCATGGAAAGTTTCTGTATAGTAGGGATGTATATCTCCACCACTGAGGCCTGACACATCTCAATACACTACCAGTGATTCGATACATTAACGATACACTGAAGTCAATGTCGATACGATGCAATACGATTCGTTCCTATTCACGATACGATGCGATTCAAAGATGATTTAATAACGATATGACTGATTTGCAACGGAATTCGGTTTGACATGATGTGATCCTGTTCGATACTGTACAGTTAGTATGAGCGTTTATTAGCTTAAATTCTGCTTTACTCTATCCATATCTTTCAATATGAGGGATGTATTTAACTCATTCACTGCCCATGACGACAAAACTCGTCATGTTGAATAGTAACGCTCACTGCCCATGACGAGTTTGACGAGTTTTTTGTGTTATTACACGGGAGGCTGCAGTAATGTCTGGCGCACCTTGTTAATGACCCACAACACTGATACAGTAGGTCCCATTCCGTTTTGTCGTCTTCATTCGCGCTTCTCGGGAATCACGCAGCTGCGTGAAAAATAGTACATCTTATCGCCACAAGGTGGCAGGCTAAGTCCGCTTTAGCTCTGCCAGCGACTTAGACACTCAGGTATAAGACTGCGTGCAAACCTGTCTAACTCCAGAGGTGCTATGTTGGCCGAATGGATAGCATTAAATACAAGGACCTGGAGAACCCAGGTTCGATTCTTGTCTGAGGCACATCTTTTGGTTGCTTGTGGCAAAATTGTTTTTTCATTAAACAATTATTATATAACATCTTGTCTTTAATGTCTGAAAAAATCTAGGTGAAATTCACTAGTGTTATACGTTAAATATTGTGATATGTTTTGATAAACCGAACGTTACGTTACATCCTCCGCTCTGGCCCCGAGAGCAGCTGCTGTGACCCCCGCTCTGACAGCTCAGTGAATGCACTGCCGTCTGGGCTCCGAGCGCGGACCATAGACACGCGGACTCACGTCTCTCTCTCTCTGCTCGCGTCTCTCTCTCTCTGCTCGCGTCTCTCTCTCTCTGCTCACTTCTCTCTCTCTCTGCTCGCGTCTCTCTCTCTCTGCTCACCTCTCTCTCTCTCTCTCTGCTCACCTCTCTCTCTCTCTGCTCACGCCTCTCTCTCTCTGCTCACGTCTCTCTCTTTCTGCTCACGTCTCTCTCTCTCTGCTCACGTCTCTCTCTGCTCACGTCTCTCTCTGCTCACGTCTCTCTCTGCTCACGTCTCTCTCTGCTCACGTCTCTCTCTGCTCACCTCTCTCTCTCTGCTCACCTCTCTCTCTCTCTCTCTGCTCACGCCTCTCTCTCTCTGCTCGCGTCTCTCTCTATCTGCTCACGTCTCTCTCTCTGCTCACGTCTCTCTCTGCTCACGTCTCTCTCTCTCTCTCTCTGCTCACGTCTCTCTCTGCTCGCGTCTCTCTCTCTGCTCGCATCTCTCTCTCTGCTCGCGTCTATCTCTCTCTGCTCACGTCTCTCTCTGCTCACCTCTCTCTCTGCTCACCTCTCTCTCTCTCTCTCTCTGCTCACGTCTCTCTCTCTCTGCTCACGTCTCTCTCTCTCTCTGCTCACGTCTCTCTCTCTCTGCTCACGTCTCTCTCTCTCTGCTCACGTCTCTCTCTGCTCACGTCTCTCTCTCTCTGCTAACGTCTCTCTCTGCTCACGTCTCTCTCTCTCTGCTCACGTCTCTCTCTGCTCTCTCTCTGCTCACGTCTCTCTCTGCTCACGTCTCTCTCTGCTCTCTCTCTCTGCTCACGTCTCTCTCTCTCTGCTCACGTCTCTCTCTGCTCGCGTCTCTCTCTCTCTGCTCACGTCTCTCTCTGCTCTCTCTCTCTGCTCGTCTCTCTCTCGCTTCTCTCTCTCTGCTCTCCTCTCTCTCTCTGCTCCTCTGCTCTCTCTCTCTCTCTCTCTCTCTCGTCTCTCTCTGCTCACTCTCTCTCTCTGCTCAGTCTCTCTCTGCTCACTTCTCTCTCTCTCTCTCTCTGCTCTTCTCTCTCTCTCTTCTCACGTCTCTCTCTGCTCACGTCTCTCTCTGCTCACGTCTCTCTCTCTCTGCTCACTTCTCTCTCTCTCTGCTCACGCCTCTCTCTCTCTGCTCACGTCTCTCTCTGCTCACGTCTCTCTCTGCTCACGTCTCTCTCTCTCTGCTCACGCTCTCTCTCTCTGCTCTCTCTCTCTGCTCTCTCTCTCTCTCTCTCTCTGCTCGCTCTCTCTCTCTCTGCTCTCTCTCTCTGCTCGCGTCTCTCTCTCTCTGCTCACGTCTCTCTCTGCTCACCTCTCTCTCTCTCTCTCTGCTCACGTCTCTCTCTCTCTCTGCTCACGTCTCTCTCTCTCTGCTCACGTCTCTCTCTGCTCGCGTCTCTCTCTCTCTGCTCTCTCTCTCTGCTCGCGTCTTTCTCTGCTCACGTCTCTCTCTCTCTCTGCTCGCGTCTCTCTCTCTCTGCTCACGTCTCTCTCTGCTCACTCTCTCTCTCTCTCTGCTCACGTCTCTCTCTCTCTGCTCACGTCTCTCTCTCTCTGCTCACGTCTCTCTCCCTCTGCTCACGTCTCTCTCTCTCTGCTCGCGTCTCTCTCTCTCTGCTCACGTCTCTCTCTCTCTGCTCGCGTCTCTCTCTCTCTGCTCACGTCTCTCTCTGCTCGCGTCTCTCTCTCTCTGCTCACCTCTCTCTCTCTCTCTCTGCTCACCTCTCTCTCTCTCTCTGCTCACGTCTCTCTCTGCTCGCGTCTCTCTCTCTCTGCTCACGTCTCTCTCTCTCTGCTCACGTCTCTCTCTCTCTCTGCTCACGTCTCTCGCACCTGTTCTTCTTAAAGATGTTGTTTGATGCGGAGCCGAGAGTCAGCAACTAGATTGGTTGTGAGATTATTAAAAGAAGCTAGTTCTCTCATCTTTACAGCATGGGAAGTTTGTGAATGTTATTGCATCGGTGATTAAATGCTATTTTATTTTAATAATGATAGTAAATCTGACATTTAAAGTCAGTGCCTCCCCAATCACAATCCTCACCGCACGTCACTGTCTGTCTGCTATATGCATCTGATCATTTGATGTTGCCTCAACCTACACTTGTTTTAGTTTAAATGTGTAGGCTAGCTGTTTTTCAGTCTTTGAAATGTTGATGTGGCCATTTTATGGCTATTAAAAGCATCTGCCTCTGTCTGTGCGCTTTAGCTGCCGGCACTAGGACCACTACGTGGATTAGCGCCCTCTCAGCTGTCTTCGCGCCGAATGAATGACAGATAGCATGATAGTGATAAGATATGTAAACAATGGCAACGCCGGCCGGCTCTTGTGTCCTACTGGACACAAGAGTTTGGTTTTGTGTTTGTGAAGGACCGTGCTGTGTGCACTTTATGCTGTGAAAATGTTGTGTGCAGAACTTCAAGTGTTAAGCGTCATTTTGAGACGAAGCACGAGAAGACCTTCAAAGACCAATCAGACAAAGTAGAGTCAATTAAATGTGCTGTGTCCAGATATGGAAAACAAGCTAGCTCCTTCAGGGTTTTTACCACTGCTAAAAATCACGGGACAGAAGCAGCTCTCCCTCCCCCACACGAATAAACAAAGCCCACCCCAGGCCCCTGCTGTTATAAGTCATTACCTACATTTGCAAATCAATACATGCAAATGTTAGCAGCCAACCTATCCTTCTTTTCAAAACAGGGGCCAACACGCAAACTTCGAATCATATATATAATAAGCCTCTGAATTTATTCTTTTAAATAATGTTGTTATAACACTCACCATTAATGCGACTTCTGGTGCTGGACTGTAAAAAAATACACTCAAAATTGTTCACCTTACTAAGATTTTTGCATTCACTGACAATAAAATTGCCAGTTGGAACTTATGAACAATAGAAGGCCATGGCCTGTATAGTAGTACAAAAACAAGATAAAATAGAAGTACAAGACACACAATGTTCTTTGATTGTATATCTGCTACGATTGTGTATCCGTTGTTTTAGCTGACTGACGCCAATATATCCAATATATAATGTTTCCCTGTTTATTGTTCTGCCTGAATCTACCACCTGTTGTGAATAAACTTCCAGGTTGCTCTGGTGTGCAAAAGCCTATGCGTCTGATTTTCGACACTCACTTTCTGAAGTTTCTGATGAAAAGTTCATCTTATTTGATATATTAAGTTGATTTGACTTTTAAGTTGTAGTGAACTTCTGAAAGTTCAAGTGGCTCACAAGATAGTTTCAGTTCCAACTGGAAATTTTATTGTCAGTGAATGCAAAAATCTGAGTAAGGTGAACAATTTTGAGTTGTCGTTTTTACAGTTCACCGAGCTATAGTGAGGTCAACTTATCTGCGTTTGCTCATTTAAATATGTGTTATGGCAACCAGCTGCATTCAACATTTTGAACAAACTAATTTGACCAAAAAAATCACTGTATTTATTTTTACCAACCGTAATCGACAGGGCCAAGCCAAAGTAGCCCTTTATATTCTCTGGGTCAGTCTTAGAAACATTAAGTTTCCCCTCTGGTTCAAGTGTGTGCGGCACGGTGGCTGAGTGGATAGCACTCTCGCTTCTTGACACGAAGGTCCTGGGTTCGAATCCCGGTCGGAACAGGGCCTTTCTGTGTGGAATTGGCATGTTCTCTGTGTCTGCATAGGTTTCCTCCGGGTGCTCCGGTTTCCCCTACCCAAGTGACCTTGGTCCATGAAATGCGCTATATAAATAAACATCATGATCTTTTAATGTGGGGGCTAATTTAAACTCAAAATAGTAAGTTATTGTAGGGGACAGTAATCTGAACTTAAAAAAGTAAGTTTTTACAGACTTGAAATTTCCAGTAACTTGAATTTAAACACTTAGTTGGCAGAACTTGGAAAACTTAACTGACACAACTTAATAAGTGTAGTTCTTCAAAACTTGAAGAATTAAGTTAATGCCTTCAACTCAAAAATCCTTCGCAGCTGGTTGCTTTGAAATTTTGAGTTGAACTAACTTTATCTTTTTTACAGTGTGCATGGACCAGAAGTCCAATTAAAATAATGGACAATTGCTCCTGCAGCCCTGAACAGGACATGCGAGATGCGCGGGTCGGCCCGAAACCCGCAGTCAACCCGCGGGTCCCGCGGTTTCGGGCGGGTTGGATGCCTCAAAAATATGAGTCATGTCAGGTGCGGGTGGGTCGGGTCAGAAAGCTCCTGATCCCTATATAATATTATATATGTGAGCCACGGTATGGGAGTCCCTTGAGTACATTTGCAATCGCGCAGGGAGGCTGTTAAACAAAAAAATCATGCTGACAAACAGGATCGCTCCTTCCTGACTCCCCGCTTAAAGCCTCAGAACACTCCAGCCCGAGGACAGACGTGTGATCTACACAGAGGCACCGAGACTGATGACGGTGTGGGCCTCACAGCAGAGGCCTAAAGCAGGGGCCTCATTACTTTAATACTTACAGTCTGTGGTAAATACACGGGCTACATGTGGTACACGTGCTTAGACTATATTAATATTGTATGTGTAACATTCAAAATAGATTGAGTGAATATTCCCTTTTCCTCATTTAGTGATTTGCGGAGGAGAGGAGAGGAGCAGCGAGAGAAGTTTGGCAGTTGAAATAAATGAATTACAGCTTGCTAAATTATTTGAAAGCATCTTCATTATGATTGTTATATTTATGTATTTATTATAAATGTGAGAGATGCCAGAGAAAAGGCGTCTGCTTTTTTTCTGAGTGGGAGGAGACACCAGCGGAGCTGTTTGAGTCAAATAACGTTCAGCGTTATATTACCAATAGTTTCTCTTTCCATAACGATATTCTCTCTTTTTGGAAAGATCACCAACGTGATGCAAAAGTTTACGTTATATGCAGTAGTTTTAATGTCTGCGGGTTATTCCAGAGACTGGCCTGCTACAAGGAGTTGCCCGTTTAAACCAGATTGTCGATGTGCGCGGGGCAGAAACTCGCCAATGTAACCCTGCTCACAAGTGCCACCTGGTGGTTGTTTTGGTCATTGCAACGTCACTGGGAGGGGGGAAAATAAAAGACGCGTGAATCACACGTGATTCTCGTGTGATTCACGCGTGAAAGGCGACAAAACGGAATGGGACCTACTGTATATAGTGCAAATGTACCTGTAATGATAAATCACCACCAGTAGGATGCAGTATTGCACCACAGGAGAGGTCATAAGTCAGTGGAGAGAAGGAGGAGGAGTGTGGGAGTGTGAGAGAGCGTGCTGCTGTAGCAGAGCGTGCTGCTGTAGCATTGAGACGGATCAGCGATCTAGTTTAGCGATAGTATAGCAAGAGTGATGGCGAAAAAGAATAGTTATAAGCAGCTGACACTGCTTCAGAGATTGACTCGCGGATCAGTGAGTGAGGTCGAGAGGGGAGAGAGTGGAGACCCCGGTGGAGGTCCGTCTCTGCAGCTACATTTGCGCGGAGCAAGAGCAGAGACACACCTTCCGCCTCTCGCAGCGTATCAGCTGCTGTTGTTACTGATGCCTCGGATTCGTTCAGCAAACCTGATCATGATTTATCGGACACACTCACAAACACTCACACGCACTCACTCACTCACTCACGCACACAGACACTCACTCGCACACTGACATTCACACACACTGACATTCACACACAGACACTCACTCACACAGACACTCACTCGCACACTGACAGTCACACACACACACACACACACTCAAATTCACATGCTTCATTCTATTTTATACATCTATAGTTTTATTGATCTTTGTGTTGTTGTTGTTTGACGTTTTGGTTGATGGTATAGAAGAAAGTTAAATTTTCTATCTGTGAATAAATTGCCAACAATTTGCCATCAAAAGTATTATTTCAGAGTCATGTTTTTATAATTTTTGTAATGGAACAAGTGTGAAGATGTTTTGAGTTGTCACTAAAGCAGCAAAAATGCATCTAAAAGTCTCTTTTCTGCTTGATATGTTCCTGTTTACATGCAGCTCGTTTTCTCTGTTTTCTTGCTCAGACCAGGTGTTATGGGTGAAAGTATGCTTTGTTCTATGGCGAATAACGCAAGAATGGTAAGAGGTAGAAACAAACTGTTTTTTTCAGAGTAAAGCAGAGAGGTGAATCTTTAATTTGGTGCCCTTGGTGTTTACATCGTCTAAAAAATGAATATTCTGTGGCACTTCAAAGTTGGGTCAAATCACCTGAAATTGCTGGCAGAATGCACTTCTCAAATCTGAAAATGCCTGGCAGTCAGTGAGTTAATATTTGGTTATGGTTATTAGAATTTGTGATGCTTCTTTGAGTTCTTGAAAAGCGCAATATAAAACCGATGTATTATTATTATTTTTATTATTGTGGAGCAAACCAAGAAATCCTATTTGAAAAATACATTATTCAGTATGTACAGAGTATTTATTTATTTGAATCCTTCATTCTCTAAAACGCTGTAGGGCTGGATATCTTTGTAGCTGAAGTAGACTAAATAAATGCCATAGCAGTAAATTTCTCCTGTGTGAGATTAATAAATAATCTTATCATAGCATCAGTTAAGGCCTGGGAGTGGGCAGAGTTAGCTGCTTGAGGCGTGTTTTGACCAAAGAAGTTTGTGATAGACCTATTGCTCGCGTCGCCAACTTTCGGTATAATCCAAAGTACAGGAGGGGGTAGCAGCCGCAGTGTATCCACGCCATGCTACCCATGTATTTGATAGGCGACTTGACTTGTTTTTTTTGGGGCCATTAAAAATCTCTTTGCAGTTTATGTTGTGAGCGTTCATGCTTGTTTTGGACCCGAAGCTTATGTCAGAGCCCGAGGAAGCGATGGTGCATTCAGGTTGCCTCGGAAATAAGACAGGGCAGCGAATAGAACAATTGATTTAACCATGGAATCTACCGATGCAGACAGGCTGGAAGAGATGCATCGCAAATTCACACCTAAATTATATCCGATGCGCCATGAATGTATCCGTGTAGTTGCATCGCGGACGTTTGTATCGGACCACCGATGCGAATCGGTGAATCTTCACATCCCTACTGTATAGCATGGATCATACACAAGGAAACTCAAGTGCTATAAACAATCACACAAAGAGCCTTAGAATCATAAATAATCACATGGTCTTTCTCTGGTCTCTCTCTGGTCTCTCTCGACGGTCTCGCTATGCTCTCTCTTTGATCTCTCTCTGGACTCTCTCTGGTCTCTCTCTCTGGTCTCTCTTTGATCTCTCTCTGGTCTCTCTATCTGGTCTCTTGAATCCAGCTGTATAGTCATGTCATACCTCATTTTAAAGCTCAGAAAATTCAGAATCTAGTCATTACAACACTTTTGGTGAACTAAAGTGGCCCGTATTCTAAAAGGTTTGGAGCCTTGTACATTGAAGGCCGACCAAAACACAACATGCAAACTCCGCACAGAAAGGCTCTGACCACTGAGCCACAGAGCACAGTGTGTAAGAGCCTCTGTTCTTGCCTCGTGTTGCTCCCAGGTCTGAAATGCACAATAAAACGGTGAGTCAGCGGTTCGGTCTGCTGCTGGAGTCGTACTGTCGCGCATGTGGGATGTACCTGAAGCACCTGAGCCGACAGGTGGAGGCCATGGAGAAACTCATCAACCTCACAGACATCCTGAAGCAGGAGAAGAAGGACGAGACGCAGAAGGTAGAGACAGACTGTTCTGTCCTATTCTTCTATCAACATCGCTATTACATTGCTCCCTCGTTTTTAGTTTTGCGTCTCTCTTTTCTCTCTCTCTGGCCTCTCTCTGGTCTCTTTCTGAACTCTCTCTCTGGTCTCTCCCTGGTCTTTCTTTCTTGCTTACACCCAAATCTATATAAAACAGTGGAGGTGTTAGATGTCACTATGTGTTTTGTGTTTCTCTTCACGTACTGATACACACACACACACGAGTGTACGATATAACTGTAGCTGTGTCTGTGGTGAAGGTTCAGATGCGGTTCCTCGTGGACCAAATGAAGAGGCCAGATTATATGGACGCTCTGCAGAACTTCACCTCTCCATTAAACCCTGCGCATCAGCTCGGGAACCTCAGGTCTGCTCTTCCCTCTGACCCATCACCTTTCACAGAGCTAGAGATGATTTTCCATACTTTTCTTTCCTCACAACTGGAATATTGTAACAGCTGCTTAGTCTTAGTAAAAAAGATCTTGCTTCTTTCCAAGTTGTCCAAAATTCGGCTGCAAGGCTTTTGACCCGCAACCATAGGCTCTGTTACATGGTGAATATAGAAGAAGGACTCAAAATGCATGACTACCAAAAAGATACAGATTGTATAAACAAAACACAAAAATAACAAAAGGATTTTAGATACACAGGTAGATACAGGTGAAACACATTAGGGCGGGACAGGAAATCAAATGAATAGACAGTAACTGAAAAATTGAAAAGAATGGTCTGGCCCCTGAAAAGATCCAGAGCCTGGTCCAGCCTTATGCCTCCAACAAGAGCCTGAGGTCCTCCACTCAGTCCCTGTTGATGGTCCCCTGCACTTGTTTTAAAACCAGAGGAGACATGAGGCCAAAACATTAGGCCTCTGTGTATTGTGTTAATAATGTCTGTGAAAAGCGCTATACAAACAAACTTTACTTACTTACTTCCCTCACCTGTTACCTTTTCTGGGCAGGCTGGACGAATGCAGGATCATGTCGTCAGCCAAGAGGCCTCTGTGGTTGAACTGGGAGAATCCAGACATAATGTCAGAGCTGCTCTTCCAGAACAACGAGATCATATTCAAAAACGGAGACGGTAATGAACGCAGACAATCCAGGACTGAGGCTGTAGATTAGGGGTGTGACGATATATCGATTTTTCGATATATCGCGGTACTTTCTCCCGCGATTCGATTATCGATATGCATTTGCCAAGTATCTATATCGATTTTGAAAAAATTTTTTTTAACAATTAAAAAAAAAAAAATTGGTATCAATACTTAGTTTTATTTTTTCTTTTATTCATGCCATAAATTGGCATATTGTATATTTCTGACCAATATATCAATAATCCTCATATCGTGATAAAATCGTTATCGTGATATCGTTATCGTGATATCGTTATCGTGATATCGTTATCGTGATATTGTTATCGTGATATCGTTATTGTGATAATATCGTTATCGTGATAATATCGTTATCGTGATAATATCGTTATCGTGATAATATCGTTATTGTGATAATATCGTTATCGTGAGCTTTGTATCGTGTATCGTATCGTGAGGTTCCCTTAGGTTCCCACCCCTACTGTAGATCCAGGACTGAGGCTCTAGATCCAGGACTGAGGTTTCTTATTCTTGTTGTTCCAGATTTGCGTCAGGACATGTTGACTTTGCAGATCATCAAAATCATGGAGAACATTTGGCAAAACCAGGGTCTGGATTTACGGTATTGTTTGAGAGAGAAAAAGACCATCTCATTTTTGATGTAGTTTTCTGCACTCCTTGTCTGGATCTCACTCTGGCCTCCTCTCACTCCGCTCCTCCTCTGTCTCTGCTCCTCTGCTCTTCCTCTGTCTCCTCTGTTTCTCCTCCTCTGCTCCTCACCCTGGTCTCCTCCTCCGCTCCTCACTCTGGTCTCCTCCTCCTCAGGATGCTCCCATACGGCTGCCTGTCTCTGGGGGACTGTGTGGGTCTCATCGAGGTGGTGAGGAACTCCCACACGATCATGCAGATCCAGTGTAAGGGCGGCCTGAAGGGGGCGCTGCAGTTCAACTCCAACACGCTGCATCAGTGGCTCAAAGACAAGAACAAGGGCGAGATGTGAGTCTGGATCTGCTATAACATAACTGCTTAACCCGTCTACATGGACTAGAGGCCACCCACAGTACTGCAGCCTAAATCTACATAGACTAGAGGCCACCTGCGGTACTGCAGCCGGTCGGACCAGAGAAAGACCAGTGAGAGAGGCTGTAGATCCAGGACTAAGGCTGCAGATAGTCTAAGTGACAAGCCGAGAACCTGCTTCATGAAGATTGTTATAATAGAATATGGTGAAAGTCACATTTCGTCCCCTTCAGGTCTGTGTGGATGTTTCTCAAACTTGATGGAGTCGTTGCTTCATGAGAACACTGGTAGATCGCCCCCCTGTGGTGTTTTGCAGGTATGACATGGCGGTGGATCTATTCACCAGGTCGTGTGCCGGCTACTGTGTAGCTACATTTATCCTGGGGATCGGAGACAGACACAACAGTAACATTATGGTCAAAGACGATGGTCAGGTGAGCTCCTTCTACTCTCAGGCCCGGACATTGTGATTTATGGCTCTCGCTGCCCCCTGCTGACCTCTTGCTCTGCGTGCGCCTGTATGTGTTCTGTATCTTTCTCCTTATGTTTGTGTATCGTTTGTTGAAGGATCTGTGACTGAATGTTTTCTTGCCTTGTCCTTGTAAATATAGTAAATAGCTCACATTATTTTAACTGTGTAGCAAATATGTTTTAATCTCTCAGGAGACAGAAACTACAGATAAAAAATACCCGCTTGGCTAATGCTGATTAACCTGACAATTACAACGACGCCCAGGCATTACTCGTTTGGAAAGCAATAGGCCCTTACCCTTGATGTGGCTCGGGCCTAAATAAATAAATAAATAAGGATTTTTCTTTTCATGGTAACGTATAATACAAATATTCAAGAATCAGATTGATTATAGGTTGATATAATTACTTACACAACTCATCCCCTTCAATGCTCCATCTCCCTTGTCAAATATGGTGGGCAGGGAAGATAATAAGAAATTATAGGAAGATGGGCGGACATTCAACAACATGTGGACTTAATCAACATTTATGGACATTGGTTTCTGCTACTTATAGACTTATAGCTCTATGTGTTTAGTGTCATTGAATTTCTTGTGTTGGAACTGTTTGTTTCCCTGATCTGTGTTGGCAATTCTACATTTACTGTATGTAAAGTCCTCCAAGATAACTACTGTTGTGATTTAGGGAGATACAAAAATGCATTGAGTGGAGTCAAATACAAGATAGGTTTTGAAGAAAAAATGGTGGAGTTTAAATGGACTTGTCACTGTCAATGTCCAGACCTTAAACTGGTGTTGACAAACTCTCCAGCTTCTCTGACGAATGTTGAGTTTTTTGGCCCGAGAGAGAGTAAGGCTGAGTTTACTGAGTGTAGTGGTTAAGCAAACGTGTTCAGTCTTGGTTACGTGGGTTCAAGCCCATGTGTGTGTATTATTATCTTTATATATTTGTTTTGATTTTTAACGAACAATTTTTTCCTGTTTGGTTAAAGACTAATAAACACTCAACATAGGATTACGTAGTGGCTAATAATAAAACTTGTGAATGTATGCATTTGTTGTGCTAACAATCTCAAGTTTGCAAATAAGGGGTGAGCACTTGAGATTTTATGCAAATGCATGGGTTCACAAGTTTTATTATTAGCCACTACATAATCTTATGTTGAGTGTTTATTCGTTTTTAACCAAACAGAAAAATTGTTCGCTAAAAAGTGAAAAGTCAAAAGTTTTCCGACGGGGATTTGAACCCGCGTCTTTGCGACTGAAGTCTCATTACGCAACCGCTACACCACGGCCAGGCATTTTCTCTGACTACTGTGAAAAAATAATAGATAACACCCTAAACAACCGACGCACACTTATGCGAGGTTACAGCCTGACACGTGAGTCGCTCGGTCGAGGACCTGTTTTCCACGTCTAAACGACGTAAGGTGTGCATCTGGACGTAAAGCAATGTCTTCCCAGACGTTGATATGACGTTGAATCTGTACCTCTGTCGCTGCCCTGCTTTATTTACTTGGAATCACCCTCTCTAGTAAGTACACAGTCTGCACAGTTTTTAGATATAGATGTATCATTTCCACATTGAAAAGAGTTGGAGACAGAAAGTAAGTTGTTTTCTCACGTATACGTGGATTTTGTTAAGTATATTTTGTATATTATCTGTATTTTGAATTGCCAGTGCATGAATCTATAATAATAACGGCTGGCACTGCTCAGCTGAAAGGGAGACACCTTTTTTTAGTTTTTAAGTTAAAGTTTAAAATATGATATTGTTTTTCATATTTCAAACACATTAGAATTCTTAGGTTAGACTGTCCAACAAAGTATGTGTTAAAAAAGGTTAAGATTCTTGAGTTTTAAAATAATAATTCAATTCTAAAATGTAAAGTTACTGTATATTTCACAATGGTTTATAAACTGCAAAAAGACAACAGTACTTAGTAAACTAAGTTTAAAAACAGGGAGATCAGCTTTACTATTTGGGACACTCCCATCATTTAGACACCTGTGATGTCATCAGTTGGAGTTGAGTTCAGGTGTGGGACCATGTGGGACCATGTGGGACCATGGAGCACACAGATGTTACCTGCTGCAGAAAGAGAGTTTAATGTTCATGTATTGCTTTGTTTAATAAATTGATTTAATGTCTTCCCAGGTCTTCAATGTCAGAGACTTTCACTTCTTCTCACTGTGGCTGTTTAAATGAGCCACTACAGTTGTTATTTTTGTTATTGTTAGCTGCAAATATTAAATATCCATTCATCTGCTGGTAGCAAGCTAACTAGCGCTTGCAACTCTATTCAATTTCTTACTTTTTCTTATAAACTTTAAAACCAGCCATATGTTAATTAAAATAAATTTACCTTTGCTAATGCAGTCAATTATTGTGAAATCCATAGAGTATAATTTCATGATTGTTGCAATAACTAATGTTCTGTGTGTATTCCTAATGTGTCATGTGTGTTTGAGTCTTACAGGTGTCAGACTGTGTTGAAGGTGTTCAAAGGTAAGAATCACACTCTCACACATTGATTGTTCTTCTGTATTATGTTGTTTTTAGAATAAACCATTATTTGGTGTATTCTCTTTGAAAACATCTATCTTTTTCTCAGATTGTTCAGCAACTCACTCAAGATGAGGGAAAAGAACAACAAGGGGAAAATGCCCCCTCGGAAATGCAACATATAGAGTAATACAGGGTAAGTAGCTTTCAGGGCTCATTTGTGTCCATGTGCAAAACAAATGCACATTTGCAATTGTTTTTTACATGGAATTACTCCAATGACCAAAGCCTTATCCCAAGTTTCTCAGACGGAGTGTCTTCCAGTGTCTCGAGCTAGTGCAGTGCCAAGGTTTGTATCACATGGTGATGGATCGAGTGGTTTGAGGCATTAATAGAAAGTTATGTGTTGTTATATCACTTTGCCACATTATGTTGAAACTAAACATGTTCCACATTTTCAGGTGCTGTGCTTGGACCTTATAATGAGACTGAAGACCAAGAGAGGACACATGTTGGAACCTCAACATTCAATAAATGCATTCTTCTGCCTTTCAGATTGTGTTTTTACATCTGGGGAACTTAGAGTGTAGCTTGTGCCTGTTTTAATACTGATCCAAACATAGGCGCTACAATCATGTTTTTTTACTTTGGCATGAACTGTTCAGTACAGTAGTGTTCATAACACTGTGCCCTGTGTGGTTTAACTTGTACTTTGATGTAGAGAAACATGATTTTTAATGCAGCTCCATTTGCAATAATGACTGATATCCTTCTACTACAGTTGTTCTAATGATTTTTGAATGCTGTGTTTATCGTTTATTGCCCAGAGTCAGAACTAAACATGATAAAGCTGCATTTCAGATACACAAGGCTAAAATCTGGAACGGTCTTCCTGGAAATGTGAGACAGGCTTCTTCTTTGACAATGTTAAAATCCAGGTTTAAAACACTTCTGTTTCTGCTTCAACTGAGAGATTTTATGAGAGATTTTATTTGTTTCTTTTTAATTTACAGTCAATATTTATAATTGTAATGCCTTGTTTGATTGTTTCTATCTTTTGTTCAGTGCTTTGAGTTTCCTTTTGTTTTGACTGTGCTATACAAATAAACTTGCCTTGCCTATTGCAAAAAGTATGTCTCGACCAGTGAGTGATTCTGCAGAGGTTAAGTAGGTCAATAGGACTGTAAATGGACGTCATATAAACGTCAATATTTTGGTCATATAAGACGTCGAGAGGACGTCGGACCCGACCGGTTCTGTACCACATTGCAACCTTGAATGAAGTGGCCCGCGACGTCATTTGAACGTCCAGATAACGTCCAGATGACGTTGAAATGACATAGTTTTGACATCTGCTTGCTTAGTGGGAACAACGGAAAACGAACGTCATATGAAGGCAATATTTTGGTCATATAAGACGTTGATAGGACGTCGGACCCGACCGGTTCTGTACCACATTGCAACCTTGAATGAACGTCCAGATGACGTTGAAATGACATAGTTTTGACATCTGCTTGCTTAGTGGGAACGACTGAAAACGAACGTCATATAAACGTCAATATTTTGGTCATATGAGACGTTGATAGGACGTCAGACCCGACCGGTTCCGTACCACATTCAACCCTTGAATTGACGTGCCATCAACGTAACATTTGGAGGTTGAAGTGACGTCGGGAAACGACGTCGAGAAAACTTTCATTCTGCACCCACCAGTGACCTATATTCTACGTCGGACAACGACGTTCAAATTACGTTGATTCAACGTCGGCTTGCTTAGTGGGTAGTTGGATGTCGGTTGCTACCAACCGTTCATACGAAGACTGTGTTCCAGGGGGGTGAAAACGTAAGTGTTCAGATCCAGCCTGCAGAGTGGGACAACTCAGATACGCTGCACAGCGGGGGCTCTCTTTCACACCCGCGAGAGGGGAAAGGTGTGAAATCCCCCTCTGCTCTGACCCCCGCCTCCGCGCTGCTCCCCGCACGTAAATTTGGACATGCGCAGTAGCGGAGAACAAACAAAAACAATAATGGCGGCGCGCACACTAACTAGCTACGTGGGTTTCCAGCGCGGGACAGAGGATAATTCTACACCTTCGTTCGTCCAAACGAGACCACGCGAAGCTCTAGGTTCAGTTCCCATTTTCACAGCTGCTGTTAAAATGCAGAATGATGTTGGTGCGTTCTGAGGGTCTGGCACAGGAAGTGAGTACACTGCCGAGGGGGGGGGCTGGGCACGGGGCTGGGGGTCGTGTGAGTGTTGTAAAGTTTCTCTGCCCACTACTGGCCGGGCGCTAGAACTACGTCGTTTTTCAACCTCATTTGAACGCTGAGAAATTTGCATTAGGAGCCTGGTCGTTTCTGCTAATAGCCTGGAAACGTCTGCGCAGCGTCTCAGTATAAACAGGGCCTAAGAGTAAGACCAGAGAGAAAGGCCAGAGTAAGACCAGAGAGAGAGACCAGAGAGAGGGACCAAAGAGAGATCAGAGAGAGGGAGACCAGACAGTGGACTAAAGAGAGACCAGAGAGACTGAAATAGAAAAGCCAAATTAGACTGTATATTTCTGTAGCCTACTCTCTCTGCTGGCTTTTCAATAATTGAAAATATTTATTTTTCAGCTGTTTCACATAGACTTTGGACACTTCTTGGATCATAAAAAAAAGAAGTTTGGATATAAGCGTGAGCGCGTTCCCTTCGTTTTGACGCAGGACTTCCTCATCGTCATCAGCAAAGGATCTCAGGAGTGCGCCAAGACCAAAGAGTTCGAGCGGTTTGTTCTCTTTACTCTATGCAACAATTACAAAGAACATTCACCTAAAGAAGGCCACACACGCACACACGCACACACACACACACACACACACACACACACACACACACACACACACACACACACACACACACACACACACACACACACACACACACACACACACACACACACACACACACACACACACACACTTAGAGATAGAGAGACATCACTTTGCATGATGCTAAATTTGGTGCAGACATATTTTAATGTAACTGCACATTTGAAACTAAATTCAAACTCAAACTACATTCACCACTGTACACACACACACACACACACACACACACACAGACACACACAGAGAGAGAGAGAGACACACACAAACGCACCCACACACACACACACACATACTGTAGTTCGGTCCTGGCCTAAACCATAGACCAACACAACATAACTGCAAAAACAGTACAGAGAGAGTTGCAACAGATTCAGAACAGAACGTTGTGTGAAGGAGTGGGATGAGCGTAATATATTTATATATTTATATAAAGTATATATACTTTTTCTATTTTTCACAGTTGGCAGAGCTGGAAAAATACATAACAATATAGTTTTACTTGTTATCCCAGAATATGTTTGTTACTCTCACCTCTTTAGAGCCAGTTCTGCTTTAACGCACCAGCCGGAGTCACACTTTCTCACTAGTCCAGACATTTAGCCGCAGATCCTGTGTGTTTTATGCTAATCTCGACTTCCCGCGTCACACTGACAGCTCTCTAATTGTGTTTGTTTTGTGCAGTTTCCAGGAGATGTGTTATAAGGCGTATTTAGCGATCCGGCAGCACGCTAACCTCTTCATTAACCTTTTCTCCATGATGCTGGGCTCTGGGATGCCCGAGCTGCAGTCCTTTGACGATATCGCCTACATCCGAAAGACTCTGGCTCTGGAGAAGACTGAGCAGGTGAGAGCAGAAGCAGAGATAAAGATTCAGTCGACACTGACCTGTGTGTGGCCTCGTCCAATTAGGAACACTCATCCTGAGGCTTTGTTTAATGTTGTTTTCATGGTGTTGTCATTTCATACATTTAATTTAATACATGAGGGGCCTAAGGATTTAATTACAGTGGAATCTGGTTATAACGCGGCCTTTCGTGGCCTCTCTCTCTTTGGTCTCTCTGGTATCAGTCTCCATACGCTCTCTGTTCTCTCTGGTCTCTCTCTCTCTGGTTTCTCCCTGGTCTCTCTGTCTGGTCTCTCTCTGGTCTCTCTCTGGTCTCTCTTTGGTCTCTCTCTCTCTGGTATCCCTGTTTTTCTCCGGTGTCTCTCTGATTTCTATCTCTGGTCTCTCTCTGGTCTCTCTGGTCCCTCTCTGGTCTCTCCTTCTGGTCTGATAGATAAACTGTGATTCAGTGAGGGAGCACTCTGTAGGGAGATATACCTACAGTAAATACATGTGATACTGTTGATTCTAATGCCTGTGTTTGGACACTAGGAGGCGCTGGACTACTTCATGAAGCAGATGAATGACGCGCATCATGGAGGATGGACCACAAAAATGGACTGGATCTTCCACACCATCCGCCAGCATGCGTTAAACTGAACACACAGAGACACAAACACACAGGCAGACAACAACACAGACACACACACACACACACACACACACACACACGTGGAGACCAGCGCTACACTAAAAAACATATGGGAGAACAGCGACTCAGGCAGTGGTCAGAAACAACATAAATCTTGGATGTTTGGCTTCCTGATTTAATTTTTTGCGGAAATATAAAAAAAAAAAAAACATTAAAAGGAACATTAGAATGGCTTAGTGCACCATCTGAACAGGAACACAAATGCATTTACAGGGAGGCCACTATTCCTGCATTACTGTGAACTAAAGCGATTTGCACTTTTAAATCTCTCTATTTCTATTTCATAAAATTTGCAAAGCAGCCGACTTCTGCCTGTTCTGCGCCACAATTTGACAATCATCGGCCTGAGGTCAAAAGCGGCTCAGTACAAAGAAGACCACTTTAAAATAGAATTATAAATGAAAGAACTGGAACTATTTCTTAATATGGAGAGGACTCTGTCGGTCATTTTTAGGACTTTCTTCTTTGCAAAGACGATGGACTGAAACGTATACAAAATCATGGCAAATTATTTATGAAAGAATTGTTCATTTTGTAAACATCAGGTTTTTTTATTTGTGTTTTAACATTTTGCAGCTTCTTCTACAGAGACATTTCCTGTTTTTTAAATGTTGATGATTAGTTTGGAAACTGCTGAAGGACTTTTTTATATTGTACAGAGTTTTATCATTGTGTGAATCTACTGCGGTCAAGGTCAAAGTGCCAAACGCTGAGAAGTGAGAGGTTGGGATTCTGTAACACTTCAGAGGCGCTAAGAAAAAGAGCTAAAAGGTGCTACAGCATTAGTAAGTTCAGTGGTCAATTAATTTTGAAATCTGTCAATCGAGTCTCGTCTCGTTCACTTAGCTCCATGACAAAGATACATACAGCTGGGAAAAACAGTAGTTATTCAGCTTCCAAGTTCTCCCACTTATAAAAGAGAGAGATGTCTGTAATGTTCATCATTTTAAACTTCAACTATGAGACAAAGAGATAGAAACAAATTTATAAAATCAAATGATTTTTAAATGATGGAAAATAAGTATTTAGTAAATAACAAAAGTCCATCTCTTACTGTTGATGATGACAGAGATCACACGTGTTCTGGAAGGCTTCACAACATTTCCACACACTGTTGCTGGTATTTTGGCCCATTCCTCCTGCAGATTTCTTCGAAAGCAATGATGTGTTGGGGCTGTCGCTGGCAACACAGACGTTCTTTGAGATCTGGAGACTGAGGCTCCAGGACCTGTGTGTTTGGGGTCATTGTTGTGCTGAAGGAAGCAGGTTTTCACTCCAAAACTCACCATACAAGGCCACATTCATTCTTTACACAGATCAATCGTCCTGATACCTCTGCAGAAAAGCAGCCCTTAAGCCTAATGTTTCCACCCCTAACGAAGGATGACTTCTTAAGAAGCATCTAAAGGTCTTGAACCTCAGTCTCCAGATCTCAGAACGTGCCAGCGACAGCCACAAAATATCACTGCTCTATAAGAGATCTGCAGGAGGAATGGGACAAAATACCAGCAACAGTGTGTGGAAACCTTGTGAAGACTTACATAACACGTGTGATGTCTGTCATTGTCAACAAAGAGAAACTAACACAGTATGAGTTGGACTTTTGTTGTTGACTAATACTTATTTTCCATCATTTGTAAATCAAGTCTTTACAAAACAGTGAAATGTAATTTTCTGGATTTGTTTTTTATCATTTTGTCTCTCATCTTTTCAGTGGAAGGACTAGTACAGTTGTAGGCTGAATAAATATGTGTTTGCCACTGTTTGTGAATGGATTGAGTTTACAAAGCAGTCATGAGGAAAAACTCGTCTTTTGGCGCAAACTTAATGACATTATTATTAATGCATGAGTTTTACACAGTGCTGCTCTGGACGCGCAGAGACACTTCACATAAACTAAACTGAAACATCGTCACATTTCTCAGCTCTCATTGTCCATTACCGATCTCTAGCAGCTTTATAGTAGTTTACAATAGTTCCCTGTTGCCATAGTAACACACAGCTCTAATCTTTTCCCCCAGATGCTGCTTCCACTACTCTTTGTCTCTTTAAGAATTATTTATGAGATTAGAATTAATGACCAGATGGAATGTTGAAATAGGGGACGGTCGGAGGGACAGATGCCATGAAATAAAAAAGCCATTTTATTATTTTTATCAATTGTTTCTACTCTCTGGTCTATCTTTCTGCGCTCTCTCTCTCTCTCTCTCTTGTCTCTCTTTCTCTCTGGTCTATCTCTCTCTTCCTGGTCACTCTCTCTCTCTCTCTCTTTGTCTCTGGCCATATTTAGGGCCAATCTCCATCCTTTTCCCTGAAGTCTATCATTTGATACAAGGGAGACTAATCCTTACAATGTTGTCCATGTTTTTCTAAACTCAAGCGAAAGGATGTGAGATTTCTATGATCTGAGTGGATGACGAGAGAGATGCAAGTTCCAGGTCTAGAAAACAAATTCACAGAATTATGTATTTGTCCAATGCACTTATTTAAGAGTTTTCTATATTCTTAAGTCTCCCGTAGTTTGAATGTAAAGGCGGGTTTCTCCTGTGGCGTTTCACCTGCATGAGACTACAGGATCCTCCGCCTCCTCTGAGCTGTGTCCGAGCTTCTGCTGCCGTTTGGAGACAAGCGAAGTTTTGAAAAGATGTGATAATAAATGTGGCTAACACTGTCTCATGGTGCATTGTTTTCCCGCAAAAAATACATTGTGTACTCGATTGATTGACCTTTACTTTAGTGGGATGATCCCAGAGACAATTCAGAATGTGCGTGGGTTCTTGTCCACATCCTGCTCCGTCCAAAAAGACATATTCTTAACATTAGTTTATTTAACTGTTGTGCTAATCGTCGGCATAGTGCTCTATTTTATACTTTTGCTAATAATATTTAAGTATTATTATCGTTTATATTCAGTGTCTCTCAAAAGATAATTTCTGTTTTTTAGATGGATTTATTTTATTTCAACCCTGCAGAACACAATGTCACATATCTTTACACTAATACAGGTTTGAATGTACTGTAATACCTTGAACTTGTGCACATGTTGTCAGAGAATGTATTTAGATGGACGATGGTGAGAGGGAAGTGCTCATGGATGAAGTTTGGCTCAACCTCTCTTTCGGCTTCTGTTGACTCACATGTAAAAGCTCAGTAACCGTTTGCTCACTATTTTTGGTGATATTTGTTTTCATTTCCTGTGATCTTTGGGTTTTTTTTTTGATATTGTCTCATTAAATCCATAGTCATAAAGATTGGCCAATCAGATGCCTTCATTGGCAGGGGTAACTCCAGCTTGCCTTAGCAACCGTCCTAGCAACAAGTCTGCCCCTGTTACGGCACGAAGATAACGGCGTCAGAACAAAAGGAAATTGGCTCCAGCTTATTTTCAAATCTGCCTCTTCTGCACTAAGGCGTAGCGCTGTGGTGATGTCACACTGTCAGTCCACTTCTAAGACACTGCTTTACAACCTTAAGCATACACATTTTCAGGTTTTGAATGCAAAACAAATGGGTGACTCAAAACTACCACTGCTCTTCCCTGTCAGTGCACCATCCTCCGTCAAACAAGCGGATTGCAGCATTATGTTGTGGGGCTGCTTTTCTTCAGCAGGGACGGGGAAGAGAGACAGTGTTGGTGAGAAGATGGATGGAGCCAAATACAGAACATTATTGGAACAAAATTTGCTCGAGAAAACTCCACAACTCCAGGTCTGTAAATGATGAGGAGCAATGCTGTAACATGGATAAAAGATAAAGAAGCCTAAAATAAACGCAACATGGACGCCAACTCAAATCACCACAACGGGGACCACCACTCTGGACCTCGGCTCTGTCTGCTCCCTCTGCTGCTGTCGGACTGTACAATGAACATACTGTACATGTCACGTTTACCTGTAAATGTATTGTATATATTTGTTTCCACTGACTCTTGTCTACTGCTCTCTTATCGATATCTCACTCACACACACGCACACATCTGATTGGACGGATTCTTTTTATTTCCAAAACAAGGAAAGCTTCACATGTTGCAGTATGTAATGACAGGTTGATAAAAAGCCAAAACGTAAAAGAGCGAGTTCTCATTATGCAAGAGGGGTCTAAGGACAGTGGTGATGATCCAAGACAGTCGACATTCAACAACTTTTATGGACTTCATCAACACATATGGACTCTGGTCATCTGCCCCTTATGGACTAATGGTGTTTTTCTATCATTGCATTTCCTGTGTTTGATTCTCTGATCTGTTGTTGTCAAATCGACAACTTGTAAAGTTATCCGAGACGACTGCTGTTGTGATTAGGGCGAGACAAAAATACATATAAGCTTGTGGATAGAACCTGTGATTATGGAGGTATGAGCACCAGACCGTGACGCAGATTTGCTGTTATATTATTGGTGATTGTTGACTGTTGTGACCCTCATCCAAAGCCTTAACCGACCGGGTCCAAGTCACTGAAAGCCGAGTCGACCGCTGCATCTGGGGGCGTGGCGTCAGTGCCGGAGCTCCCATGATCCTGCGATCTAAAGACCTTCCAGGTTTTGGATGGGCAGTGGAAGGGCGAGTTGTCTGGGGAAGGCTTGGCCAGGTCCTCCTCGGATGACTCCTCTTTGGCCTTGGTGGGAGCAGGGCCGGGGGAAACCGTCTCGGGAGCGAGAGTGCTCTGCTCCATGTTCATGTTGCGCAGAGGAGACCAGCCAGGTGGGCGACGCCTCAGCAGCTGGGATCACAGATTATATCATTTATCACATACTGTACTAATATTGTGCAAACTTGCTATAAAATCACTGGAGGACAACTACAAGATCTTCACTGTGGGAGGAACAGTTGCAGAATGTGTATTCTGGCTCAGCCCAAACATGCTCTGATTGCTGACTTTGTCATGATGCCTTCAGGGCGTCGTTTTAATGCTCCAGCTTGCAAAACAAACTGTTTTAACAATTCTTTTGTGCATCTGCTATAAAACTGTTGAACTCTGGAGGTGTCTGACTTTTGGTTATTTTATTATTTAAATGTTTGCCTTGTAAACTGTAACCAGTGTTTTCGTGTAGAGTCTGTGTGTGAGTGTGTTTAGGTAGAGTCTGTGTATTTGTGTGTGCGTATGTGTAGAGTCTATGTGTTCTGAATCTCAATCTGAATCTACTGTCCTTTTTCAGATTCGGTTTATTGATAGGTCAATTTAAAACGAGGCTCAAAGGACCGTGTAGCTGCAGGTTTTCATACCAACAGAAAGAGCACATCAGACTTCACCCATTTCCTCAAGTGAGTCCAGTCTGAACCTGAAGACCTGAGGAGATCGAGTCTTATGTGCTCTTGTTTTGTTGGTATGAAAACCAGCAGTCATTTGAGGACCGGGTCTAGGGAGACATTTGCTTTATCGGCTTTTCTTTCCCATAGACTCACTGTCATCTGCCCTCCCGCTGAAATAGGGCACACGACATGTGTTGTAAAGTCCTCCGAGATAACTACTCTTGTGATTTAGGGCTACACATTGAAATCAAACCTTTCAACCTTTAACACACTGAGGTACATCCAAAGCAAACCAGTAATATCTCCAATGCAACAAGCAGGAAACAAACCCCGTCTTGGAGACGGCTGTTGACCTAATAGATCCATGCTGTTGACCCAGTGCTGTGTAGTACCATAACTCACCACTGGGGGCATCTGTCCTGGTTCACAGTTAAGGTGAACGTTGGGTGCTTCTTGTCTCCACGGTGCCATGTCCACTGTGGAGTTACAGTTAGCGAACTCCTTCAGAACACAAAACAGTATTGTGTGTCAGAATAATTAATTAATAATAATAATGCATCAATTTTATACAGCGCTTTTTGAACGCTTCACATGTCAGTATTCATTCACTCCAAACATCGTGGTGGTAAGCTACTACTGTAACCACAGCTGCCCTGGGGCAGACAGACAGGAGCAATCCTGCCTGCCATCTGCCCCTCCCACCACCAACACCAACACCCTAGTCTCATTCTAAAGTGGGTGAGATGTCTTAGACTTAAGGACACAACCGCATTTTGGCACTTTACAGCCACAGTTGCCTCACTCTGGCACCTGGTGTTCCCAGATGTCTCCCATCACAGCACTAACCAGGACCTTCCCTGCTCATCTTCAGAGGTCTGACGGGATATGGCTTTCACACGTAGGTATGGCCACATTCTTTTTACTTTTTGCCTTTGTCCATGACATACAAGGATTTTTCTTGGGCTCAAGGTGCAAACAAGTAAACAGCGTCAAACTGGATCTAAGGTGTGCTGCGTCAAATAATCTTCATTACCTTTCTTAAAATTACTATGAAACTCAAGCGCACATAAATACACACAGTAGACATTTAGCTGTGTGTTGCCAAGGTTACCACTTTGTCCTGGTCGTCCTCGCACAGAGCGTGTAGGTCTTTGTGGTCCGCTTTGGCGCAGTTCGTCCTCCTCACGTCGAACTTGAACTTAAAGCGAAAACCTGCCACCACCTGAACACAAGCAAACTCAGATGTGAGACCAGCAAGACCATGAGCGAGACCCTGGAGGAGCAGAAAAAATATAATGAAAGGTACCAATCTCTCACTCACTCTGGAAAAGGACAAGGAAGATGTATGGTAGTCACATTTATGGTAACGGTTGTCATAGTGATGGTTGCCATGGCAACTGTTACCCTGACAACAATCAATGTGGTCCCTATTGCTATGGCAATCACTATGGCAACTGTACCATTGGCAACCATCACTATTGCAACTGTTTCCATGACAACCATCACTATGGGAATAATCACCATTGCACCAGTTACCATGACCATGGAAGGCCAATCTGATGAATCTTGTTTGAATGCACATTTCTTGCAACTTCTTTATTGGGAATTGGTCTCCAGTTGCCATGGTATTATTGCCATAGCAATAGTCAGCATAGCAATTGTTCCTATAGCAATCACTATGGCAACTATTGCTATGACAATCGCTATGGCATTTGTTGCTATGACAATCACTATGGCAACTGTTACCATAACAATCTTGCTTTAATGCAATTTTCTTGCAACTTCTTTTTAGAGGTTTTTTTTTGTTTTCAGTTGCCATTGCGAGGGTTGCCAGGGTAGTTACCATAGGGATTGCCATAGCAAAGTTTGCTATAGTAATGGTTGCCATAGTGATGGTTGCTATGGAAATAGTCCCCATAGCAACCATTGCTATGGCAATCGTCACCATGGCCAACGTTTCTATGACAATTAGTCACCATGGCTACCGTTGCTATTGTTGTATTAAATATAGGCTAAAAGGCGATGTGAATTAGATTGACCTGAAATTGAACTCTGTCTGTCTCCAAGCAAAAAGAAAGACCTTGTATTGCCCTACTCCCCTGTCCCATTTTGTCCAAAGTGCATGGGTGAGTTAATGATAGTTAATCTGGGGGGATTCTGCTAATCCTTTCAAGTTGTGAAAGAAGGAGATGGACTCCAGAATCTGGAGGAGAAGCCTTGAGATCCCTCTGCCTTATCTCAAAGGAACTAATAAATCGATAGAATTAGGGAGGGGTAGTGCGTGAATGATTTCTGTTTAGGTTTGGCGAGACGGAGGAAAAGGCCGGACCTTGGACCAGACATCTGCCTGATACGACACGCCCCCTTCTTCCTGCACATTTACTTATAATAACCTCATGCTTGTGTTAGTCTAGACCGGACCAGGGACAGGAGTGTGATTTGCGTGGAGCGCCCACCAAAATCATACTTTTATATTTTATATAGAGAATAAGGGATAGTTACTTTTGGTCCGAACAGCTGTTTTAGATTCTTTTTGTATTAGGGAAATAAACCTTTTTGAATTTAACTTTCTGAATCATGGTCATCTTTATAAGGGATTTTGAACACGTCATTTTTTAATATAATAATTGGTGACCCTCGACGTGATCCCTTTGATGACTTTCAACCTCTCCCTTGGACTCTGCGTCTCTCCTCAAAGCGGCCGCTGATTTGAAGGTAAGCAGATACCTTTTGACTAATTAAAAATCTGCATATTGGACTACACAAATTAAGGGGAGAGAAGTTTTGTCCACGGAGGAGCTAATTCAAAAAGTAAAAATAGTAAAAGCCTAAAAAGTAGTGAGAGCCTTGCGAAAATACGTTAAAATTAAATAAAATAGGAGTCTAAGTAGCTAGAACCCTGCGAGAATACATTAAAAGTAAAGATTTTTTGAGAAGCCTTGCCAGAAACAGGAAAGCCCGCTGTGACTAGCGTGGTTGACGGACGCGTCAACACACAAGTTAGGTTTTCACCATTGGAACCTGGGGAATTTTGGGCCCCCCCGAAAAATGGAGACAGGCATTCCAATCGAGCAGCTATATAGAGAAATAGAGGCTCAGATTCTGAGTGGTCTGGATAAAAAATATAGGAACAAGGCAAAACGAAAGGCTGTGAAAGCATGGGAAAAAATACAGAACAAAAGGGTCATACCTGAGTATATGACAGCGTCCGCATTGGCTAAGATATTGCGGGAAGAGGAAAATAATTTAAAACAGCATAAACTTGAGCTTGAGGGAAAGCAGGGAGAGAGTTGGAATGAGCGTAGAAAAATTAAGAAGGAACTAAAAAAGGCTGAGAAACTGAGGACCAAGGTACATAATTTTGCTTTGGCTGCCACGGCGTTGGCAAAATTACCGATGGTAAGTAAAGACAAGGAAACAGAAAACGGAGCAATGCCGGTGAGTAATATATACCCATCCCTACCCACGGCTCCACCAAAGTACTCTCTAGGTTTAGAACCAGGTAAGCCAAATCTAATATTGCCACAATATACATTTTCAGGAGAAGTGGCGGTAGGAAAGAGAGGGGACAATGACTTTGTAGACAGGGAATTTGACGAAGGGACAGAAGAGGAGTCTGTGGGGGACAATAGAGATCCGAGTCAAAATCCAGCTGTCAGCCTCCCGCCACAGCTCCCACACACCCCTCACCAACCCCCACCCATCCAAGAGGTGCAGGAGCTGCTCCTGCACTCTCTCAGAAATATTAGAGCTAGGAAACCGACCTCTGAATGCACCACAGACAGAGTTGAGGGAGAAGAAACCCCAAGTAGGACCCATGATTACGAGACCGCTAGACAGGAGAATGCAAAATTAATTAATAAAGCCGCACGCAGAGCCATGACTAGGACGGACAGTGAAAATGAAAAGGGAGACGGTGCCATGGCCCAGCCAATACTTAAAGCTAAACAGGCTAAAAAAGGAGCTAAATTCTCTTCTGACAGTAGTGATGACGGAGACCAGGAGCCTGGAGAAACTAGACCGGTGGCAAGCAGAACCAGGTCTCAGACAAAATCCATGTTCCCTCTGAGACCAGGACGAGGCGCAGCTGGGGAGTACCATCCTTTTTCTGTAAGTGACATGCAGACTATAAAAGACAAAATGCCTCCATTGTGTCAGGGAGCTGGAAACTGGATTTCCAGTCTGAACACATGGTTTACAGGTCATGATGTCGCGATGGGTGACGTCCGGGCAGTGATGGCAGCATGCAGTAAACCATGGGAGAGAGATGCTATTGAAAGACAAGCTGGTACTGCTGATGTTTGTGATTCTTCCAGATTTGGCCAGTATGCAAATGCCTGGTATGAAGCACTGAGGGAGAACTTTCCAACCCCGCTGTCTTCTGCCCCTCGTGAGTTAACTTGGCTGGAGTCTGAGGACCCAATTGTATTTTATGACAGGAGTGTGACCAAGTGGATGGACACAGTAGGAAGACACCCTCACAAGGTCAGTGAAGTCATGCCTTTTAGAGCAGCTATTTTGAATGGTTTACCAGAAACAATACGCTCAAAGATTGAGAACAACCCAGATAATATTAACCCGGATTCAGCACAGTGGAAAACAAATTTAATCTTTCACATTAAGCGATATGTTGAAAATAAAACTAAAGAAAGAAAGAGTGTTGAAGATATGACTTGTCAACTTTTGAAGTTACAGCTTAGTGAAGCGAGAAATAAAGCCACACAAAATAAAAAAGGAACCAGTAATCAGATGACTAATATGCCTGCTGGACTTCCCACTCCACCACGACAGGACTGGACAAGGGGAGGGGCCAGAGGTGGTGGGCGTGGGGGCCGGGGAGGAAGAAGGGGTGGAAGCTGGAAAGGGGGCAGGGATGTGTGTCACCTCTGTTACAGGCACGGTCACTGGGCGAGGGACTGCCCCTTTGAAGGAGAGGCCTCCTACTACCATGGAGCGCCTGAGATGGTGCGTGGGAGGGGCCCCCAGAGAGGCATGGGACCCAGACCAGAGCGCGCAGGCCCTCCCTCCCCATGGACGGCTCCGAATGACAACCTGGCCCCGAGAGATGGACAATATTTCCAGCATGGGAACTACTGGGGCGAGTATGAACATGAACAATCTTACTAGGGCTGCCTAGGAAATCCAGGGGACAAGGTACCAGCAGAGCCTATGCTCCCCATAAGGGTGGAGGACGACAACCTGATGGCCCTGGTGGACACTGGCGCCACCTACTCTACCATCAATACAAAGATACGCCCTGTCCTGCTCTCTGAGGAGCACATCACCCTGGTTGGATTTTCTGGGACACCTGAGGTACTGCCACTCACTAAACGTTTAAAGACACAAATTGGAACACAGACACTGTGGCATTCTTTTGTAAATGCTCCTAAAACACCTGTCAACCTGCTGGGAAGAGACTTATTGACTAAAACCAATGCGTCAATTCTATGTGGACCGGATGGTCTACAAGTGACTTTTCCAGGGGGACAAATTTACAGATGTGTGACCGGTGTATCGATGGACTCCTGCTGGCTTCTGAGAGAAGAGATGCCAGACCAGTATGCAGACATATACTGGGTGAGACTGGACCCAGAAAACAAGTCCACGGACAATAATGGTGTGCATTCCGTCTTCTTCAAGTGGAAACCCTGGATAAATTCTTTGGCCTCCTACCACCTCCCACTGGACCCTGCCCACTTGACATTATTCTATGACAGAGACCAAGACTTAATGTACAGAGAACAATTCAAACAAATTTGAAAGTGATAGGTGGACATTAGAATCAGATTACATTTATATTGGGCCTGAGGGTGTGGCGGCCCATACACGGCTGCTTCCTGAACAGTGTGAGTGGTATTACATGTCTTCCTCTGCTGTCCCACACATCACCTTGGCTGTACACCCTGGTCACGAGGCTAGAGCTTTAGGTCCAATGGTAAAGAGACTGGTAAAAGCTGACGATTGGTCTGACACCCAACTCCCTCATGTAGAGTACAGCATTGAAAATAAGTCATACAGGATAAAAGCAAATATGATAGACACAGGGGAAGTGGAGCACGAAACATTGACCAGACATCATGGTAGACACATGACAGATCATGATGATACTCATGAAATATTGAAACAGGTGCCTGCAGAAGTTTGGTCCCAAGGTCCCACGGACGTGGGGTTGTGCACCTCTTTCCCTCCTGTGTCTTTACAGATGAAGCCAGGAGGCCCGAT